TAAGCAAGCACGCCACAACCTGCACCCCCACGCTCACGCCCCCCGCTTACATACGTACATACATACATACACCCGCCGACGCCCCCCTCGCACAAGCCCGCCGCCACGCACCACGCACCACGCACCACGCACCACGCACGACCCGGACCGGCCCCGTCGCGCCTAGACCTGCCGTGGCGCGCAGCAGCAGCTGGTGGCGTAGTAATATGTGCATACGTACATATGCACGTACGTACATACAGGCACGTCTAGTAAGCGGCAAGCTGCTTATCCCGCTGCTGCTTTGTGTGGTGCCCTACGCAGGGAAATGCTGCTGCTGCAGATGCAGTAGTGTGAGTGTGGTGGTAGACGCAGATGCAGACGCAGTGTAGATGCGGTAGATGCAGTAGATACGGTAGCAGTGGTAACAGGAGAAAAAGCAATCAGCAAAGACAAGGCAGTAAGAAAGCGTTTACACATCCAAACGTATCGCGCGTGCGCTGCGATAGTGGCTAATTACCTAGTTGCTTAAACCATTGGTGGAACATCTATCCAGCAAGGCTAAATCGACGGGTGCGGGCGCGCCGGGTCGGTAGGGCGTGAGATGGCGTCAACCGTCCGTCAGACCACTGCACTGCACACGACCACTCGATGTGAAGAGCAGACACGCGCAAGCCTGCCCACACCCATGCAGACATCAACAACAACAACCTACTCCACTGCGCACGAAACCAAGTGAGTGTAGGTAGAAACCCTAGCGAAGATATCGAAGAAAGAAGCAGATCATAGATTACCCCCCCATTCCATCCCATCCCTCACCACCACCATCACCAAAACCGCTATAAACGTGCGCATATATGTAAATATATGCACCATGCAAGCAACTAGAAACAAATGCCATACCAAACCGTACCAAACCAAGCTGAAAAACAAGCAAAACCAACTAACAACCCCAAAAGAACGCAGCAAATGCAAATGCCAAAAAACCATATGTGAATGCGTATGCGTATGTGAAATGCGTCACTCATAAAAGCCTAGGCCAAACAACAAGCAAGCAAAGAAGCCAGATAAAACCCAGAAACCGTAATAGAGAGAGACAGACGGACAAACAACAAGCGAACAAACAAACAAATAAACAAAACAGACAATGCACCCAATCAAACCAAACCAAAGCAAAACCCTACTCCCAACCCAACCCAACCCATCCCATCCCATCCCATCCCACCCCATCAACAACCCCAACCCCACTCCTCTCCCAAAAAACGCCCTCAAACCCGAACCCCACAAACCCAATCAAACAGCCACCCCAACCCACACACACACACACACACACACACTTACTCACCACATCAAACCAACCAACCAACCCAAACCTAACCCTGCCTCGCCCTCTCCCGCCAAGCAGGCGCCGACCCCACCTCCATAACCTCCCTAAGATCGACCTCCGACCCAGCAAGCTGAATCCCCATGGTAGCATCCTTAGCACTATCATCGACATCGAGGGAGCGATCGAGGCCCTTGCCCTTCCGAAGTTCCTCGCCCTTAGGCCGCACCACCTTGATCGCGACATCCGCGTCCTTGCTGTACACGCGCAGCCCAACAACGCACACCGCGTTCCAGGGGTCGCGCTCAAACTCGTCGTCTTGGTCGCCGCCCTCTTCGCCCCCAAGACAGCCCATCAGCGCGCACGGCCCGTTGCCGCCTGCTGGCCCGCCGCTGCCGGGGCGGAGCGCGTTGAGGCGCTCCAGTGCCGAGATGCCCTCGCCACCTGCGGGGCCGGCCTCGTCTTCATCTGAAGACGACCAGTCGTCGAGCTCAGAGTCCCAGCTGATATCAGAGTCGCTGAGGTCGCCGACGTGCGAGCCCGCGATTGAGCTGGCGCGTGACAGGCGGTGCGTCGCCATTGTCTGCGCGTTCGGCTGCGAGTTGTGCCGCGAGTGCTGCGGCGGGTGCGGGGACAGCGTGTCGCGGCGGTGGACGCGCGGCATTGGTGCCGGCGACGTTCCGCGGCGCTGAGCCGGCGCCGGAGAGGCGTTGCGGCTGTCGCTGCCTTCGTTGTACCCGCCGCGGCCCTCGTTGTACCCTCCGCGCCCGTTGTACCCGCCACGGCCCGTGAAGCCGGGCTTGGGCGAGGCGTGCGGCGACGGCACACGTCCCTCGGGAAGAGGAGGCGTGCCCGGGACCGAGGATGCCTGCGGGATAGGTTCCGCTGCTTCGTTGTATCCACCACGGCCGTTGTAGCCGCCGCGACCGGTGAAACCGTTGGACGGCGAACGAGCGCGCTGGACAGAAGTTGCGGCGTGCTCGGCAACAGGCTCGGCGACTTCGTTGTAGCCACCGCGGCCATTGTAGCCACCGCGGCCAGTAAAGCCATTAGAGGGCGAACGAGCGCGCTGAGCGGACGTAGAGGTCTGCTCGACAACAGGCTCAGCAACCTCGTTGTAGCCACCCCGACCGTTGTAGCCACCGCGGCCGGTGTAGCCGTGCGAGGGAGTAGGGGACGCAGCCCGGTGACCAGGCGTGCCCGGGCGCGATATGGACTCAGGCACCGGCTCGGCAACCTCATTGTAGCCGCCGCGCCCGTTGTAGCCACCACGGCCAGTGAAGCCCTGAGAAGGCGAGGCGAGGCCCTCGAGCGGAACCTCTTCGACCGGGCGCCTGTTGTAGCCGGCACCGGCGTCGGAAGTGCCGCGAGACCTGGAAGGAGTGCGGATAGGAGCCTCCGAGACCGAGTCGGTCCCATCATTGTAACCACCGCGGCCGTCGTTGTAACCGCCACGACCCTCGTTGTAGCCGCCACGGCCTTCGTTGTACCCACCACGGCCATTGTACCCGCCACGGCCGCCGAAGCCGCCGTTGCCAGCCAATGGCTCGATGGGAGTGGGAGCCTCGAAGGTCAGAGACGGCGACATGTGGTGGGTCAGGGCAGAGGGGTTCACGGCCTTGCCGTCCTCGGTTTGAGACACAATGTTGGGAAGCTCGGAGCCCTCGTTGTAACCACCACGGCCCTCGTTGTATCCGCCACGGCCGTTATAGCCACCGCGACCGCGGAAACCACCAGAGCTCTGGTCCATAGCGTTGTGCACGGCATCGATGTGCATGTGGTTGGGAGAAGTAGAGGAGCGAGCGCGGTGATGAGACCGAGGTTGTCTCTCCTCAACATCGGAGAGGTCGATGCCAAGAGGGTTCTGGCTCTCATCCTGCTGGATCTTAAGGTCTGCGACCTTCTGCACCAGAACATCGTTGAAGGCCATGCCGCCGACGTCAGAGTGCTTCCTCTGGCGCTTTTCTTCGCGCTTCTTCTCCTTGGCTCTGAGCTTCCTCCTGCGGTTGCGCTCCTTTTCGTGGTTTCTCTTCCTGCGCTCCTTCCTCTCCCTCTTTTCGCGGGCCTTCTTCTCTTTGTCAAGCTGCTTAAACTGACCCTTTGCATGTGCAAGGTCGTAGCTGAGCCCGACAGAAAGAAGCTTCTCCCGACGTTGGAGGCAGTTGCCGCGGACAATGTCCATGGGCGTTGGCCTCTCGTACCGCTTAGCGGTGATCTTCATGAGCACGGTGTATGTGCCAGCCTCGAGGAAGAGCTCGGTGCTGACGGACCGCTTCATGTAGTAGGGGCCGTTACTGCGGACAATGTATTCCTCCTCGTCGCCGCGGTGGACGCGGAACTGGAGGTGGAATTCGTATTTGCCCTCAAGGCCCTGGAAGTAGCGGTCATCAAGTTGGGCGAGGACGATGACAACAGGACTGGACTTGTGGAGAGTGATGCTGAACTTGGTGTCGAGGTAGTCAACAGACCATGGGACGTTTAGGCTGGTCCATTGCTGGGTGACGGTCCATTCGGGACCGAATAACCGCGTGCGGTCAAAGTGTTGGTAGTTCCGCAGCAGGTCTTTGTAAGAGATCCAGAAGACACCGTCGTCACCGAACTTGTGGTTCAGCTTCTGCATCCATTCGGGGGTCCACTCTTCGGCGCCGTCACTCCAGGCTCCACGCCATTCAGTCTTGCCCCATGGGTTCCTGCGAGTATGTCAGTCTAGATCTGATGCGTCAGGTAATGGGACTTACCTGAGCTTCAGTAGCCTCTGGCCGTCAATGTCGACAGCAGCCATGATGGAGTAGGCATGCTTCTCTTGAATGCCTCTCCTCTCACCGTAGCTGCCGCCCATCTGGCCACATCCGAAGAGGAACTCTTCATTTACTTTCATGAGCTCCTCTTTCCAAAACTTCTCCTTGTCTAATATGTCGGTGGAAAACACCTCGGTCGTAACACCGCCGGTCAGGTCTTCGATACCCTCACTGCTAGAAGTCAGTATACATGAACACAGAGCATGAGCCGGGACACTAACCCTACAAAGCCGCCGTCGATGGCGGAATAGTCGCCATGTGCCTTGGCGTAGGCCTTCTCCAGCAGGGGTAACCATGTCTCGTTCGGATCGCTGCACTGTGCAAAGTATAGCGATCTCGATCCAGTCTGGAAGACGGCGCGATACTCTTCTTCGGGGCTCTTGCGGTTCTGCAGTTCGAGCCACTGGGGACGATCGCGAACCGAGTCGTGGAAGTCTTCCTTGATCAGGTAGAGTTTGTCGTCGATAACCTCGGAGATCCATTCGCCGTCTGCAAGGAGTCAGTTCCGGTGGACACGGGGGGGCTCAGGGTCCAGGATGTGACGTACCTCTGTGGAAGACGAAGCCGTAAACGCCGACTTGTTCGTCGCGTGCCACGCACACCTTGTCGATCAAGTCCTTCTTGTTGCTCAAGGTGCACAAAGCTGACATGAGCCAGCAGTCGCCATCGTTGCCTTGGCGGACGTCGTTTGCGGTAGCGCCCTCGATGAAAAAATGTGGGTCGTCGAAAATGTCCTGGGAGCGGGGTTAGCATGCATGGATGGGTTAAGGCGCGCGCTTCCCTCGTTCCAAGCTGTCGGAGACTCATACCTCGATCCTCTTGACTGACATGGGCTTCAAGTCCGTGCCCAAACCGTCGAGGCTGGTCAGGCAGTCGGACGGCACGCCCGTCTGCTGCGATCGGCAAAAGTCGGATTCAATGTCGAAGTGCGGATCGCGGTACTTTTGGTTGATGCGACGGCACTCGCGCACAATCTTGGCCACCTTCTCCTCGCAGGCTGCCACGGCCTCGTCGTAGGAGGCCTGGGCATTCTGCACGGGCGAGGCGTCTTTCCGGCGATGTGCGGCATGTGCGGCGGCGCGCTTGGCGTAGAGGTTGTCGGGCAGGATGGTAAAGATCTTGCCCGGGTGGTCGGTGGTGAACTTGTTCCAGAAGTCCTCAATGTCCTTCTGGGGCTGTTGTTTCTTCATCTTGGGCAGGCGTTTTGCAGGGTCGGGCGGGGTGGGCATGCACAGCTGCTCGGGTGCAGCGACGACGGAGGGGGTGCGCGAAGGGGGACGGGAGGAAACGTCGAGTTGATCAAGCTTCAATCTTTGCGCCAACGCCATTGCGGGTGGACACGACAAGGGTATACAACAAGGTGGGGAGGGGGGTCATGGCGGCCATAGTGCAGCGGAGGCACGACTTGATATACTAGAGCAGCCGACGGGGTGCGGCTGAGGGCGAGAGCATCATGGTGCGATGATGCTTTGGACAAGAGTATTTTCAGACACGGGGTGGGGGCGGTAAAGGACGGAGCAGGACAAGGCTGTCAGCGTGTCGCCGTCCGTGCATGGGGCAGGCCAAGGCAACCAGATGCCTGCGTGCCTGCGTGAGAAGATGGGAAAAAGGTTGACGACGGAGAGCGAACGCCCGGTGCGACCACAGCTATTCCTGGGTGCCCATTGGCGCCCATGCTTGGGATCATTAGACGCTGGCCGGATCCGATGTTGTGGGCCATAGGGCTGGCGTGCCGCCTCACCTCACGGCAGCAGAAAGTAGAAACTGCTGACAGACACCGCCCGATGCGAGCCGACCGCCTGTGTCACACCGTGCTGTGCTTTGGTGCCTCGATGCCTCGTCAGCACGCGACCTGACGGATTGCCCTTTGCGGCCCTCGCCTGCCGATCCGCCATGCTTACTACCTACCACCCTCATGAGCTCCGACAAATTTGGACATCTGCCATGCAAGGCGCAATAGGGTGGCGACCGATTCAAACGCATGCCACCGTGGCACTCTGCTGACTGACACCGGCCCCTGGCTGCGTCATCCCTCTATGCTTCCGGGACAATCTTCTTCTCCATTCTTACTCCGTACTCGAAAGAAAGCAATCGCATGTAGCGGGTGTGGGTATAACAATCACCTGGCGCAGACGAGCAAGACACTCGCAGCGTGCTGCTCTACCAAGTCTCAAAATCTCAAAATAAAACAAAACAAAACAAAAAAAGCACTCCCCATGACCCCGCAGCCAAAAACCGTCCAATACCGCCCAATTGACTCCAGACCTCACAAAAACAGTATCCCGATAAGCCGGCGATCCGGTCGCAGCCTACGCCGTAGCAGCCGGCTTGACCGCCTCAACCTTCTCCTCCACCTTCTCCTCGGAAAGGTCGGCGGAGAAGTTGGGCTGGTCCTCGAGGGGGCCGCTGGTCGCAGACATGCCCGCCGCGGGCTGTGTCGTGGGGACGGCAGGTATCGTTTCGGCATTGACCACAGGGGGCTTAGTCTCGGCGGCGGTGGGGTCGGCCGCAGCAGGCGCGCCAGAAGTAGCGGTGGTATCATCAGGCGCATCAGAAGCCTGGGCTGGCTCGGTCGCAGGAGGTGCTGGGGTGACACCAATTTAGCTCCACTGCCATGAAAAGAAACATTCAAATTAAGAACTCACCAGCAGCTTGCTCGGCAGCCGGTGCTTTGGCTGCCTCGCCTTCAGCAGCAGGAGCAGCCGCAGCCGCAGGTGCGGGGTCAGCGGGCTTCTGCTCGTCCGCCTTCTTCACATCGGTGGTATCAGCAGCGGGGGCCGCGCCGGCGGCCGGGGCAGCAGCCGGAGCAGCCGGAGTGGGCTCGGTAGGCTTGGTGGCCTCTGTCGCAGATGCAGGCGCCGTGGCGGGCTGCGCGTCGGCCTCGGCCTTGTTCTTGTCCTTGGATTTCTTCGCTTTTTTGTTTCTGAAGAGGCCCTTGAGGGACTTCTTCATGGTACTGAAGGCATCAAGCGCTGGACGAGTAATCCGTTAGCACTACGGCGATATGGTAGTAGTAAGGGCGCCAGTAGCACAAGTTCAGGTGGGCGCGGCGATTGGCGCGGTGAACCCAGGGGGAGGAGGAGGTAACTCACGGACACCAGGCATGATTGCGGTTGGTTGGTTGACCAGCTGAAGTCAAACGTCGGCGAAGCGGTGTTTAAAGCGGCCTTTGGTCGCGAGGATTACGCGACAGGGGCGGGAAAAGGAGGATGACGGGAAAGGGGCGGCCCTTGGGTCTCTTGACGGGCGCGCGACGAGCAGCGAGCAAAGGGCGCGGTGGTTGAGCGAAGGATGTAAATTGACGGCGACGGGGGAGCTCTCTCTTGGACAAGGCGCCAGGGTCTCGCTGCTAAGCCCCAGATTCAACGCGCTCGTTTCAGGGTTCCCAGGCCTATTTTTGGCGGCCCAAGCGTCCGTCTCCGGCTTTTGCCCGGTATCACACGCACCCCCACCATGTCAGTGCCGCTCATTGGCTCATCTAACTATATATATTCGAGAATGCGAGGGATCAATGCCCAGAAATCTCCGAGTGACGCATCGAGGGAGACTCAGCCTCGTTTTAGTTGATCCATTCTGCCTTTTGCAACCAACCTCTGTTCGCTCTATTCACGGAACACAGCTGATCTTCCAGCTCCTATTGTAGGTACATACTTAGGTACTGCATAACCCAAGCCTTGCGTGCTACATGAATGCCTCGGTCCGCAACATGGAGCACCGTCGAGAGGCAAAAATACGTTGCAAAACCCTCGGCCCATTCCAGGCTGCCATTAGAATCCTCTGACTGTCAGGCGGTGACTCATTTACTTGCCATCGCACATCATTCCGTGTATACGTACTTACAATCCACTGGTGTTGGTTATGCGGCCTCTCTTGTATGGTCGTGTAGAGTTGCCCACCGACGGGCTTGGCTTCAGCCCCTGCTGCTGCTGTGGTCAGACGTCGCGTACTCCGTACATGTTCATTCAAGTGGGATCATGTCAGCCTGATCATGTCCAGTATGAATACGTCACATCGCCAACGTCTGGCTTGTCTGGAAAATTGATCGTTCGGTTGGTGGGCCTGCATGGCCTAGCTATTCAAAGAAATGAGAGCTATTTCACCTCACACAGAGTGTAACATTATGGCTAATTAGGTCTATGAGAGATACCAATATACCGTATGAACCACCTCCTGTATCGCTACAATTTGGATTTCGTCAGGAGGAAGCTGATTGGGAGACTCGCTATCCCATCTGCAAAATACAGAGCCCCAACAGCCCACATGCGTCGATCGAGACCCATTGGCTCAACAACCCGCAGCGGCCGATTGACGCTGTGACACAAAGATCTGTTTCGATTTCACACGACAACCATGCCGTTCTAGGAAAAATGTCCACGCTCCCAGCCAATAGCAAAAATCCAGTTTCTCTACTGATCTGCTCGGATCCACATGTTCGAGGCCCGTGCCGCAGACTATACAAGAACGTGGGCAGCCAATGAAGCGCAGCGCCAACTCTACCTCTACCATTAGCGACGAAAGGAAACAAAAAGAGTGACAGTGCGCACGGCCTGCCAAACAAGGTAAAACACCAAGAGCCCGACAACGGTGATCGCGAGTCGCGACTCATTTCCGGCCAAGCGAATCGCCCAATCTCCGCAACCTCCGCACTCTATCCGCTACCTCTCCAATCTGCCATCCCGTCACGATATCGCCCGCTGCAAGGCGCGTAAATCCCTGATCGGCCCCACCGAAATTTTTCAGCAGAACCCGCGTGCGTGTCCTCTGCACCCTCTCACGCTCCTGGCTTTCGCGCCCACGGTGCCTGCGTGGGAGGCATCACGCCGCCGGCACCGGGCCTCGCGGGTGCAGGCATCGTTGTCGCGCCTGATGCTCCTCGAGTCGCCCATGGTGCTGCTGTCATGGGCGGTGCGGCAGTCGCGTTTGATGCCCATGGTGCGGCTGTCATGGGTTGCGCGGATGCACCAGTTGCCCACGGCGCTTTCGTCCCTTCCTGCATCGGCAATCGCTGTGACGCGTCGCGCAGCTGGCCTGCAGGAGGCATTCTCGCTGGTTGGCTCGTTGTGTGAATTGATTTTTGCGCTTCTGCTGCCGTTGGGTCTTTTTCCCAGCGGAACAGCGAGCCGAAAGGAAAGTGCTGCACGACAGGGAACTTGGAAAGAACTTCTGCATTGTACATCTTCAACATGCCCTTGTTGATTTTCGCCCAGCCGGCTTTGACGCCAGAAATGTCGAAGAGGATCGGGCTGTGCTCCCAGAAAGGTCCTTTTTTGACATCGTAGATGAAGCCGATGGCGCTGAAGTACATATTGGACTTGCGTTCACGCTGCACGATATTGACTTTGGCAACATCCCCAGGATCGGGTGCGTCAGGAAGCGAGCCCTCGCCAGGAATATCGGCAGCGCTGGAGATGGGGGGTGAGAGTTGGGCAGAGCCAAAAATGTAGGGCGCGAATGAATGGTCGTCGAGACCCCAGACACCATGAGAGCCGGCAGGCTCAAGGGTGTAAGTAAGAATGAGGCGACGGATGAGTGCGAGGTAGCTGGCGCTGGTTAATCCCGCTTTGATCAGGCGCTGCAGGGGAACTTACGGTTCGACAACTCCTATCACAATGCCTCGCTCTTCGAGACCAGGCTCGGTATTCGCAAAACCGCCTAGTTTCCAGATCCCAGCAAGGAATGCCAAGAAGCTGAGTTCATGGCCGGTGCCATAATCAAGTCGCTGAGCGCTGCCGAAACTACCATACAGATATGCTTGCAATTCTTCCTTTGCGGTAGCGGTTCCATCGGCCGACTTGCCGGCGTTGAGAACTTCAGCGGGAAGAGCTTCGGAAAGCAGATTTGGTAACCGAGATTCAACGATCTCGTACCATTTCCTAAAGCTGATGTTGCCAAACCTACGAGGACCAGGGTCCGGAGGCGCTTCCTCGATGATGGTTCCTAGCTTTTCCAACAAGGACCTCAGCTTCTGGACAGTATCCGAGAAGGTGTATGTTGAGTTGTCCAAGCTCCAGTCTTGATATGACGACGAGGTCTTCTTTGGGAACATGGATGCGTTGAGTTGCAGCAACCATGTCATGATATCTGCGTACGCAGTCGATGTGAGAAAGAAGGAAACATCCTCGCCATCGTTAATCTGTTTCTTGGGCAACTGGAATTGATGCGGCTTCGTGAGGTCAAGTTTGCCGAGGGCTTTGTTGGGGGTCCGTAGCTCGGCCATGGTTGTTTGTCCCACGATCGATGATGTCGTTGCGCGGAATGCTGGTCGAAGCTTGGACCTGCGTGTTTCAGGCTTAGTGGTTGGTGTAACCATGCACGTGACTACGGGTTGCGTTGAAAATCATGGACGCGTCGTGTTGCACCATCGTCCAAGCTTAACATCTCCGCCTACCTGCACTGTTCACCGCGAAACGCTCCACATCGCTACTGTTGACTTTACGGCTTTTCTCTTCATAACGGTAAAGGTATGTTAGCAGTTACTTAAGGTCTAGTCGGGTGTACTGATGAACACCTTTATAGCGATCGAAGGTGCTGATAGCCAAGTCGTGATCAGTCTTGACTGAATCATCACGATTCGAATTGTTCTACATCAAGTTTGAACAGTTGCGGCTTATATTCGTGATTTGATAACTCTTTCGAAATGGCACGATTGTCACGGGAAGGTGTGTGACCACAACAAACAAAAACAAACATAAGATCTGACGATGAGACATAAGATGATCTGCAGCCATCAAATGTAATAGACATGTTGCCTTCGGATGGTGCTATCGTACAAAGTGACGACCAAGAGGAGGTGGATGCTCAACTCTGGGCAGAACAGAACACCCCACGAGCCGCCGTTGCCCGTCGCCCTGTGTCCACAACACGTCCTGGGGATAAAACTGCGAATATGCTTAACGATGCTATTTGGGGCTCTTCCGGCTCTCCGCACTCGCCCATGGTTCCCTCCAGTTCTCGTGTAGTCAAGCAGCTGCCGACTGAAGACCAGAAAAGGAGGTCCTATGAATTCATGGACCAATTTCGCAGGCAATCTAACCCGGAGAGCAAGCCTATTACCTCCTCTCCTTTGTATGCGCCTGGGAAGCTGAGGAGGCCTAGTTTTCAGGCCCTCGAACAGTTGAGAAAAAGACGCGCCAGTAATGAAGAAAGGCCAAACGTCTATGACATCCAGCCATCTCCCGAGAGATCACCTCCTTCTGCTCAAAAATATTCAATTGAGGAGGATGAGGATGAGAGGGAGGAGGTGGAGGAGACTGAGGGAGCGCAGCCCCATGGGGAAGTACGTGACGAAAGGAATGAGGAAGAAGAGCATGAAGAGGAAGAACAAGGCACGGAAGGCGCGGAAGAGCAAGGTGTGGGAGAGGAAGATGCAGAAGAAGATGTGGAAGAGCAAGACGCGGAGGAGCAAGACGCGGAGGAGCAGGGCGCGGAAGAGGAAGATATGGAAAAGGAAGATGTGGAGGAGATTCCGAAAAAGAGGACGACCCGTGCAACCCGCAAAGCAACCAGCGATCAACAAGCTACCGCTTCTTCTGAAGCCGGGCCTGCGGGTGGAGCCATCAAGCGAAAACGGGGACGTCCATCCAAACAAGCGGCGGCGTCTTCCCCTCAACAACCAAAACAAACAATGGCATCTTCTCCTCAACAACCAAAGAAACGCGGTCGTCCCCCCAAGTCAACGGTTGCAGAAAGTCCATCCACAGCTGCCCCAAAGAAGCGGGGGCGTCAGTCGGACTCGAGTGTCGATGTGTCCTCGGCACCAAGACCCAAAAAGGCCAAGACCACTGATGAGACCAGGGCTAGTGTCAGGGCTAAGAAAGCCGCTCAGGACGCCGAGCCCTCTTCTGAAAATGGAAGACGGTCCTCTGCAAGAGTGGCCGAGAAGTCGACGCAACCTCGGCAAGTGCAGCCTGTGGAGGGACAGAAAACGAGTCCCAAGAAACAAGCAAAGAGTCGTCAACCGCCCAAGGAGAAGGCAACCCAAGAGGACACCGTGCCCGACACTGAGGAAGATGGCAGACAAGAAGACAAAACAGCAGTGTTAGTCCAAGACGACGCCCCCCAAGAAGAAGATGGTGAAGACGGCGAAGTCGATCCAGCACTCTATGAACATAGAGCGGAGCTACGAGCAATCTGGAACAACAAGCGAGGCGTTGAAATGGTTAGGTCGAACCGCAAGGCCAATGGACTCCAAATTAAGACAAAAACCGTCAAAACCCTTCTCAGAAAATGTAAAGCCCTTAACGAACTTTGCGATGGCACAAGCAATCCCGACATTGCGGAACAGAGCGAGGAAGACAAGGTCAAGACATTGATCTCTCGTATCCGAACTTCTGTAAATAAGATGGACCTGCACGACAAGGTGGACCTCAAGAATTTTCTACTCCAAGAGATCTACGCCTTCGTCTTCCCAGGTCTATTAAGGGTGCTCTGCAACGTCGTGGATTTCTACGTCGACAGGTACCGTAGCGACGACAACTCAATTCCGACTGAGCCGCTAGAAACAATCGTCGACTTCACCGCCACCATCATCGAGTTACGAGAGCGCCTACTCACGCACCCGACAGAGGTCCCCGGACACCTTCGTATCGTTAAGCCCGTAAAGAATGGCATTGTCGCACCTCTTAAGTTATTCCTTGCACAGCTCAAATGGTGCTTAGAGAAGCAGCGCACAAGAGAACGAAACGAGCGCGAGCGCCTCCATGACAAGCACCGGCGGCAACGTATGCGAGAAGAACGAGCACGCGAAGCGGCCGCCCGCGAGCCCGAGCGTATCCGCAGAGAAGACTGGCGCCTGCTATACATCAAGCGGATGGAGCTGGAGCCGAACAAGTTCCTGCGCTACCGCCTCGAGGGCGAACTCAGCGAGCACTGGCCCAGCAACTCCAACATCGACGCCAATGGCGAGCCGTTCGACCGCGTCGACGCGTTCAACCATCGCCCCGAGGTTGGGCACCGCGCGCCCGCGTTGTCGATTGCCAGTGAGCCCGAGTGGACGGATGAGCGGGGCGCTGCGCTGTTGGAGGCGTTGGCTGAGGAGAGTGCCAAGCAGTGGGATAATCCCCGCCTTAGTGTGTATTCGCAGGTGTTTGAGCGGCTGTGTAAGCCGGGCGACTTGTTGTGGGAGTTTTCGGCTGCGGATATTGTGCGCATGGCAATGCACGCCAAAAAGATGCTGTTGCCGCAGTTCGAATGGATGGAGAGGATACCCGAGTTTTAGGTATCGGTATCTGGGGTTCTGGGTGGTAGTAGGTGGGGTTTTCATGTGGGCTGGACTGGTTTTCGATACTTAGGTACTGTTGGTGCTTTTCGGCGTATGGGTATGAAATTGTCTATCTCGGTACTGTCAAGTTGGCTGTTCTTTTTCTTCACTGGCTTTGAGTTGTTCATCCATCTATACCTAATAAATACCTATATCTCAGGACTACACCACCCACGCATCCTACTCCGCACCCTCACAGAATACTCTTATACTTCCGTAACCCATCCCTCACCCAGCAATCTCACACCACACCAACCTCCACACCAACCTCCGCACCAAACCCCCCATCAACCATCCTCCCTCCCTCCCCCACGCGCACAGACACCGCGTTCCCGCCCCAGGCTCGCAGTAAAACGCAAGGGCCGCGCCGCGCCCCCAGCAATACAGTACCTACCCTGTGCCTCGGCCCGCGGGACCATCCGCCCTCCGCCATCCGCCGTCCCGCCGCGGACCGGCACCGCGCTCGCGATCAGCCCCCACGCCCCCACGCGCGGCTGTGCGTACGCGTACGCGTTGCGGATTACGTATGTAGGTAGGGTAGGGTAGGATGCTGGGTTTTTGCTTTTTGTCTTGGCTTTGCGTCGTTTGCTTTTTGAGTGTCACGAGTGTGTGTGTGTTTGTGCGACGACGCTACACTGAACTCTGTCGCTGGCTTGACGCCTGCCTGCCGCTGACCGCCTGACACACTGCGGGGTATTTTAGAAACAGGACAAGAGCTGGGGACAATCCAATCCGGTTGTGGGGGACGACGACGACGACGACGAGACGAAGACGAGAGAGACAAAGGCGACAACGACAAAGACAAAGACGAAGACGGAGACGAGACGACAACGACAAGCTGGCACACACACACACACACACACACACACACAACAACCAACCCAAATCAACCAGCATGCCTCTCCTCTCCCTCCGCACAACCCACCGCCTCCTCCACCACCACCCCCTCCGCGGCCTCTACGTCCTCCTCACAGCCCTCACCACACTCGCCCGCCTCCCCATCTGGACACTCCTCTACGCTCTCCCCGCCACACGCCCCGTGCGCACCTGGACGCTGTCGCAGACCCTGCGCGTGCGCCTCCTCCGCGCCCTGCTAGAGTGCTACGCGGCGCTGGACTTGCGGACGCCGCTGTCTCTGGACGCTGGGGCAGAGGGGGAAAGATGGGAGAGAGTGCCGGGGGTGGGGGAGGGGTGGTTGCGGGGGGTGCTGCGAGACGAGAGAGTGAGGCCGGAGGCGGTGGGCGGGACGTGGTTTCCTGCGCGTCCGGGGAGGGGTGCTGGGGCTGGGGGTGAGGGAGCAGAGGGAGCAGTGAAGAACGACGACGACGACGACGTCGGCGCAGTCGTGCTCCACGTCCACGGCGGCGCCTTCACAATCGGCACGGGCCGGGACGCGGCGGCCTCGAGCGCCGCCACCGCGCTGCTCACGCACCTGAACCCCCCCCCCTCTTCTTCCTCCTCCAACCCCTCCACATACTCTCCCCGCATCACACACGTCCTAACTCTCCAATACCGCCTCGCCTCCCGCCCCACGCATGCCCCCTTCCCCGCCGCCCTGCAAGACACCCTGTCAGCCTACGTACACCTCACCCAAACCCACGCCATCCCCGCCGCCCGCATCGTCCTGAGCGGCGACTCCGCGGGCGCGACGCTCGTGCTCGGCCTGCTGAGATACCTAGCCGAGTATGGGGCGGAGCTGGACCTGGCACCGCCGGGGGCGGCGCTGCTGTGGTCGCCGTGGGTGGATGTTGCGGCGGGGGAGGGTGCGTTGGACCGGGGCGCGCTAGCGGGGGCGGGGGGTGGGACGGATTATTGCGGAGAGGGCTTTGTTGCGTGGGGGCGGGGGGCGTGGCTGCGGGGGCTGGAGGGGACGGGGGCGCAGGACGAGAGGTTGCCCTACGCCTCCCCCGCCGGCTACGCGTTCAAGTCGCCTTCGCCGCTGTTCGTGCAGGTTGGCGCCGTGGAGGCGCTGCGGCCGAGCGTGGTGCGCTGGGTTGGCCAGATGCGCGAGCAGGGCACACCCACCATCCCGCTCAGCGTAACGCCCAACGTCCCGCACGACATCCTGATGGCGGGCATGGGGCTGGCTTTCAAGGCCGAGCTGGCGGACATGGTTGCTGTGGCTGGGGAGTGGTTGCGGGGGGTTTTGTGAGTGGGGTGGGAGGGAGGGGAGGAGTTTGGTGGATAGGCAGGCAAGGAGACGACGCGACCTGCTACACTAGGGTGGGATTGAATTGAGCTGCTTATGTATGCGTACGGTATATCTATCTTTATAGATGTGACGTAGCGTATATACACACCTACACACGAAGCCATTTCCAACCACCACCACCACCACCACCGCACAACTCAACGACACTATTTAGTCACTCACTCAAATACAACATAATATACTATAATATAGTCGTGTATGCAGTATACGTAGTCTCTCTACTCCATCTCCCCTCTTTCTCGCTCTTTCCGTTTCCGCTACCTCATGTATACATATGTATATATGTAACTACTACTATACCTATATTTATCTATTAAAGTATGTATACGTATACATATACGGTATACACACATACACGTACGTATATACCCATCCTTCATCCCCTCCCCCACATTCTCTCTAACACAAGGAAAAAAACAAGAAGCGCAAAGGCCGAAAATCAAAGACATACACGCAATAAAACCAAGCATACGTAAAAACAACAATAAAAACGCAATTTAAAATGCTAAAATACGCGACCATGCTAAGAAACGAAGAGACGGAAATCGCCTGATAGTATAAACGTAACATGAACGTAGACATGAACCATAAAAACCATATATGCGTATATGTGTGTGTGCGTGTGTGCATGTGTGTGCGTAGGGGTGTATACACATACTTCTCGCCTCTCTCCTGGCCCTCCTCTTTTCCTTCCTTTTCCTTCCTTATCCTCATTTCATCCTCGTCCTTTCCCTTTCCCTCCTTTTCCTCCCTCCCTTCCCTTCCCTTCCCATCCCATCTATCTCAATCATAACCACGCATAAAACCAACCACGTACAAACATACAAAGCCCCCCTCCACCCCAAACCAACCCCTAACCCCACCCCCGTAGTCAGCTCCACCCACCCCCAACACCCCCAACACCCATCCCGGGCCCCGCATTAACACCCACACCCACACCCACACCCACGCCCATAAATGCTTCCGCGCCCTCAATCCCCTGCATCAGCTCCGACGCGCCGGGCGCCTCTGCCATCATCTGTTGTTGGTGCTGGTGCTGCTGATGTTGCTGCTGATGTTGGTGCTGCTGGTGTTGGTGTTGCTGGTGCTGCTGATGCGACGACATCTTCCGCCCGCCCGGCGTGCCTGCGCCTGCGCCAGCGCCTCCGCTTCCGCCGCCTGCACCGCCACCGCCACCGCCAGCGGTCGCAGAGGTGCTTGCGCTACCGGGGCCGGTCGTGCTGCTCGAGCCTAGGCCGCGCAGCCCGCTGGGCTGGAAATGTGTTGTCGGTGGCGCGTGGCCGTGGCCGTGGCCGTGGTGCGTTGCGGGCGGGAGCTGCCAGGCTTGCGTGTGCGTGTGGGCGTGGGGGTGCTGGTGCTGGTGCGGGAGCTGCGGTGGAGGCTGCGGCGTGTGTTGTGCGGGGGTATGGTGGTGCTGCGAGGGCGTGTGCTGCTGCTGCTGTTGCTGCTGGGATTGTTGTTGCTGCTGGTGATGGTTTAATTGCTGTTGTTGCTGCGATTTTTGCTGTTGTTGTTGCTGCTGCTGCTGCCCCCCTCCACGCGGCCCGCCGCCCATGCTCGCGCGCTGCAGCGTCGGCGTCCCGTGTGCGTGCTGCTGCTGCTGCTGCAACGGCGTGCCCACCTGCCGCGCGCCCGGCTGCATCTGCTGATGATGCGGAGCCATCTGTCCACCATGGCTGCGGCTATGGCTATGCCCGTGGTGCCCGCCCAGCCGTCGCGCGCCCATCTGCTGCAACCCCGGCGGCGCGTCCTCGCCGTCGACGTCGGCGTCGGCGTCCTCGTCCTCGCCCTCGCCGTCAATCACGTCCGTGGCGTCCGAGTCGACGACGCCGTCGCGCGTGGGATAGCCGTTAGGGCCGACGCCGACGCCCGGCGTCGAGGACAGCGCCATCGAGCCCACGCGGTGCGCCGTCGGGTTCAGCACTGTCGTTGTTGGCGTGACGGCGCCGTTCAGCCCCGCCGGCATCGAGCTGGTGCTCAGGCTGCGCTGGCCCGCCAGCCCCATGACCGCCTTGCGGTTCTCCTTGACCACCGTCGTCCACTTCTCCATCAGCCGGTCGTAGTCCCACGTCCGCGGGTCCAGCCCTTGGTGTTGTCCCGCCTTGCTCGTCAGCTCCTTGAACGTCGCCTCCGACACCGACGTCGAGCTGCCTGGCGGCGTCTGCGTGCTGCCCAGCCCGTACGGCGACGTGTTGGACGGCGCCATGCCCATGTTGATCCACCGGTTGTTCTTCAGCGTCTCAATCTCCTTGCGCGCCGCTTCCAGGCTGCTCTCGGCTTCCCGCCGCGCCTCGTCGGCGCGCGTGTACGACCGCAGCACCTCGAGCTGCCAGAGCTCCTGCCGCTGCTTCTCCGGCAGACTCTTCCAGTGTGCGAACGCGTCCTGCAGGTGCGCAAACAGGCGCTGCGGGTCCGGGTCGAAGAGGGGTGGCGTGGGCAGCGGCGTCGCCGAGTTGGGCGACGGGGCCGAGGCGAGCGGATTCGCGGCGGCTTGGGCGGCGGCGGGGAACAGCTGGGCGTGGCGCTGGCGGGCCATGAGGCGGTCGCGGACGGCGCGGTTCAGGGCGTCAAACTGCTTCTGGCCGGGCGGGGAAATGGACCACGAGTCGCTGGTGGGGAAGGGCGTGGGCGAGAAGAGGGTCGAGGGCGCAGGTAGGACGTTGAGACACAGCGAGGGAAAGTTCATGGTGTAGGGATCAAAGTCGAACAGGCTGGGGCCGAGGGAGCGGGCGCTGTTGTGCGGGACGAGGTTAGAAGGAAAACCTGACATGTACACGGCGGCGGGACACACCTAGCGTCGCGCACGCTCGCCAGCACCTCTTTCAGCGCCAGCTCGGCCGCCCGGCCGTGGTCCAGCTCCTCCGACAGCCCTTGCTTGTTCTCGAAGCGCTGCTTCAGCTGCTCGTGCCGCGACGACGCCCGGCTCTCGACCGAAGAGATGCTGGGCCGCGGCGGCAGGTTGTTGATGACGCCCGTCGCCTGCCAATTGGCCTCGTTGAGCACGATGCGCATCTTGCCGCCTTGTGGCATGTTCAGCGACGGGCTGTGCATGACCATGGGCGACCCGCCCCCGGGCCCGACTGGCGTTTGCTGGTGGTGGTGGTGTTGTTGTTGCTGCTGTTGGTGTTGTTGCTGCTGTTGCTGCTGCTGCTGCTGCTGCTGTTGTTGTTGTTGTTGTTGCTGTTGTATTTGCTGCTGCTGCTGCTGTTGCGACTGCGGCTGAGGCTGGTGGAGGTGGTGCTGCTGTTGCTGCGGCGTGTGCTGGACCGAGGCGGCGGGCGTCGAAGCAGCGGTCGAGCTTCCAGCTTGGGGATCGGACTTTTTGGCGTGCGAGTTGCGGGCCTGGCGACGAGTGATGGCGCCGCGCATCCTGCGGATATCGTCGACGTTGTGGATGCCATCGGGGGCCTTGGGGTTCTTCTGCTTGATGTACAGGTCGAGATGGCGGCCGAGCGACGACGAGGTGAAGGGCTGGTGGCAGAAGGGGCAGTTCTTGTCCTTGGGCGCGGGCAGCTTGGGGCCGCTTCCATCGCCGGTGGAGCGAGGCGTCTCGTCGTCGGCCATGGTCTATGTGCGGAGACGGGTCAGGCTGCGGTCAGTGATGGCGGGCATGCCATCGGCTCAGGCGCTCTCTGCGGGAGGCCATTCATTTATCACGGCACGGATGGGATTCTCCTGAAGTGTGAAGTCTGTGCCCCGATGAGGCGCAGGGATCGCCCGGCCCCCATCGCTAGTTTAACTACTCCCACTTCTTCATCCGCTCTCCGCGCCTGTCCGCCCAACTTGTTCAGCGCCGTCGACCGTCCCCCATTCCTCGCCAGACTCTCCGTCGCTGCCTCAATCCAGTGTTCCGCCACCGCCGAGATCTTCTCGCCCTCATCCTGTCTCACCTCCGGATTCTTCTCCAGGATCGTCTGCACCAACGACGCATACGTGACCGATGACACATCCCCTACTTCCAGCACCCTCGGGATGGCCAGCCCGTTCGCCGGCCCGCCTACAACCTGCCTCTGGCTCGCTTTCCAGTTATTCTTGCCGCCTGCTGCCACTGTTCGCGCCTGCCACTGCGTAAATCCCTCCCAGACGCCGTCGTATGGCGGCGCGTAAAGCTGGGAGCTCTCTCGTTAGCTCAACGGCGCCTCCCCCCGGTTGCAATTGCAATGTGCGCGCCGCACGACTGACGCACCTCGGCCCGGATGTATTCTTCCTTGGTCTGCGGCGATTTCTTGCTGCTCGCCATGAGCCTGCGTTTGATGTCGATGTAACCGCTCTTGAACTGTTCGCGACTGAGCTTGACCAACACCGACGGCTTGTTCCGCGACTTGATCCCGGCCATGTAGGTATCTGGCATGAAGGTGCTCAGGTTTTTAATGTTGGGGAGTTTGATCAGTGATGGCGGCATCTTGACAGGGACGAGTGCAGTCGTGTCGAGGCATGCTCTGGCGGCGGTGGCGCGTTTATAGCACTCGATGAGCGGGTCCCCATGCATTCGACGGGCGACTGCGCGTTTGTGCCACGGCGGACTTGTCTGCCTGATAGAGGCCGGACGGCATGATGTTAATAGGCGTGGTGACGAACTTCCTTGCGTGGTACTGTGCTCGAAGGGTAAGTATTGTTTAATGTACACACTGTCAAGAGCTACAGATCTAGCTGCAAGCGTAAGCTCTGGGGCTATTTAAGTAGTGGTTTATAGAAAACGCTTTAAGCTATCTGCAGAAGCTTATTAGCATAATTATATTATTTATAGCCATGTCTGGGGCGATATATTACACTTTTCGTCTATGACGTACCGTTCACTGTAGGGATGTAAATAAAAAATATAATCCTGTGACAATAGCACAGCTATGATTCTTCAGGGCTCGGCTTCTGCTGCGTCCTCGCGTGCCGGAATGCATCTTTTTTGCTGCCTGCTTGGCTGTGACTTTGGGGAAACGGCTTCGCTGCCTTAGACATGGTGTTGACGCTTGCAAATGCGGTACCCAGAGATGTTCAAGCTCAAGTGCAGTACGGCGTTGTAAGTGACGTGGTGGTCTGGACGAAGGCGGCCGGAGCTTTGAGCGCGCGGACATCCGCCACTTCCACCGCGATTCCGTCCGCCGACACTTTTTGCGACTTTCACAACCACAGCACCACCGCTCGCTCCACACCCGCGAAAATGGCTGCCGCGCCCAAAGACAGCTTCACCGACCTCGAGCGCCACCGCCTGCGCCTCGAAGACCAGATCGCCAAACTGCGCAAGTCCCTGCAGCACTGGCAAACATGGGACGTCGAGTACGAGGGCCTGAAGGAAGAGATCGAGGGCTTCAAGGGCGAGCCCTCGACGCAGGACATGATGAAGATTGGCCAGGATTTTGGCGGCGACCTGGTCAACGACAAAGAGATGCGCGAGCTGCTGGGCGTTGGCAAGGGTGTTGCGCGCGACGCCAAACAGGTCGTCCATCTTATTTCGCGCCGCCAGGACTACGTGCAGCAGAATATCCAGACGGTCCAGAAGCAGGTCGATGCTGCCGAGGATAAGCTCAACAAGGTCCTCATCATCGCCAGCCCGAACATGAACGACGAGGAGGGGAATCCGTTGACGGACATTCGGGAAGAGCTGGATGAGCAAGGCAACGTCATATCGAGCTCCGTCGCTACGCCCGGCCAGTCGGCGCCCAAGATTGTCGAAGCACTGCGGAAAGCTGGTATCACGGATCTGAACGAGGATGCGCCAGAGACCAGCAAGCCAGGCAAAGAGGATACGGCTGCAGACAGCGAGGCTGAGGAAAAACCGGAAGCCTCTACCTCAGCGGCTGCGCCCAAGAATGAGCCCGCAGCATCGCCCGTCGAGGAGAAACCGCCCAAGAAGTCTGTCTCGTTCGCCGCCGACACCAAAGAGGACGCGCCTCCGCCGAAGCAGACGTCAAAGAACCCCGCCGCGGCGCTCGGAAACTTCACCAAAGGCAGGCGCGTCATAGAGGTGGACGAAGACGACAACGAGATCGGCAGCACGCCCATCATCCCCGACGACGAGTCGCCCGAAGACGCCGCCATGCGCCGCGAGATGCTCCAGTACGGGATGAACGAGGTAGGAGCCGTGGTGGCCGAGCTAGATCTGTACGAAGGCAACAGCGACGACGAGCCATACTACGACGAGGACGAGGAGGCGTCGGACATTGAAGAGATTGACGAGGAGGATGAATGGGGCAGGAGCACACGCCCCGTCATCACGGAAGCGTACCGGCAGGAAATGCTCGAGCTGGAGCGCAGGCTGAATGCGCGCATGATGGAGAATGTCGGCCCAGCACCAGCAGAGCGGGAAATTGTCCCCGAAGACGCAGACCTCAACAACATGCTGCAGCAAGCCCAGGGCGCGCACCGCCTCGTCGTCCGCTCCGACACGTCGATACCCGAGGAATCTGCCGCGCAGCCTACAGCAGCAGCAACATCAGCAACAACAACAGAACCAGCAAAGGCAGACGCCTCAACCGCAAAGAAGGGCGTCCGCTTCGCCGCCGACCTCGACATCTCCCCCGCCCCGCAGCCGGAAACCTACACGAACGGCTCTCCCTCCACCACCACCACAACCGACACCACGCCCACCGCCCCCACCGCGCCCACAATCGCCGACGCCATCGTCGAGCGGCACAGCGCGCCCTCCTCCGCCCCCAGCGCACCAGCACCCACCCCCAACCCGAAGAAGCTCTCGCGCTTCAAAGCCGCGCGCGCCGCCGCCGCAGCCGAAACAACCGAAACAAGCACACCCTCCCCCCCACCCAACCGCACCCTCGCGCCCAGCATCGTCGAGCGCTCGGCCCCGACTTCTGCCTCTCAGGCACCAGAGCCAGAAGACACAGACCCAGCGCTGCTGGCGCGCGAACTCGCGACTGAGTACCATCGCGCGCGCAACCGGCTGATTCAGAAACAGGGGGGTTTCGTGGAGGAGGAAGTGGGGGAGGAGCCGTTGATGGAGGAGAGGGAGGATGGGAGGGTGAGGAAGGTTAGTCGGTTCAGGGCGGCGAGGTTGAGGGGGGAGGGGGTGTGAGGGGCTACTGCTTAGCTATCTAGCCGCACATGGAAAGCCAGGCAACGGCATCTTACCAATATCAATACCAATACCAGTACCTCCATGTCCCTCCATTTTCCAACACCCGCGTGCGTGCATATATGCATGCTGGTCTGACACCACCATCACCACCACCACTACAGTCAGTATCAAAAAGCCACCCACCATTTCCACCCCCAATCACCACCACTCACCAAGCACAAGAAACGGCAAGAGCGTCGGAGACAGACGGAGGCACAATCAGAGACGTACAATCAGAGAAGTAAATTGATCAAGAACCAAGCAACTACCTTCCAACCCAACAACAACATGCACGAACGAACCAAAGCACAAACCCAAAGCCAAACCCCAGCAAACAGCAAACAAACAACAACAACGACATGCACGAACGAAACATGAACCAAAGCACAAAGCGCAAAGAACCAAAGAAAGGACCAAAGAAAGGACCAAGGAAACATTATCGAATACGCAGACACTGACACGTCCAACGGCCCAGCGCACCGCACCACGCACCCAGAAGATGTGGACCCAGACCCAGGCCCAGTCCCAGTCCCAAGCCAACCCGCCCTGCCAACGCAGTCACGCAGTCACGCAGTCACTCGTACTGTACCAACCAACCCTACCACCCGACCAGCCAGCCAATCGTACCTATCTTACACTCCCCCGTCCCTCGTCGCTCCACACACACCCTCACCACCATCACCACCACCACCACTCACACCACACCCTCACCACGTCCCTACGCAGGATTAAGGAAAGAATGGAGTAGATGAAAAGATGGTTGAAACAAAAAAGTAAAAGGTAAAAAGTGAATAAACGTCAAAAACAAAAACAACTCTCCATGTACGTTACGTGTGTATGACAACCTAGTCTCGACCTCGATCGTTTCGCGCGCCTTTGCGCCTCTTCGTCGTCAACGTCGTCATCTACAGTCCTTGTTTCTGGCTTCTGTTTCTGCTTCTGCTTCTGCTGCCTCTGCTCTGCTCTGCTCTGCTCTGCTCTGCTCTGCTCTGCTCTGCTCTGCTCTGCTCTGCTCGCGGTCTGATCTGACTACGTTCGCTTCTTCTGTCCTCCTAGCCAATCTAGCTACCTACCCACTCTCCAGCGGCAACGGCAATAGCAACACCTCCCCCACGCCCATAACCGCTGCTTGCAGTCTACCTATCTACCGCGCGCCCGCTCGCTCGCCACCTAGCTACCACCACCACCACCACCAACTCAACCTCCTCATCCCCACTCACTCACTCACTCACACCCTCAACCCACCCTAAAGCAAGCTCTCGCTCTGCCTCCGCTCCTGCCTCTCCTTGGCCTTCTTCCCCGCGCGCTTCTTTCTCTTCTTCTTCTTCAGCGTATTCCCCGGCGTGACATCCTCAGTCGTGATATCCGCATCCTCACCACTGGGCGTGATGCTAGCCTCGGCGCTCGCATCGCCACTGGCACTCGCGCTCGGCTGCTCCGCCTCCCTCTGCTGCTGGCGCTCCGGGTCCGCATCGTCCGAGCTGCTGTTCGCCTCGAGCACTATCTTCTTGACCCCGTTCACGTCAATCACGTTCTCGCTGATCGAGCCTGATCGCGCCTTGCTCTTGCGCGGCTTCGGGCTGCCCGACCCCGACGCGCTGCGCAGACTCGCCACCGTGCTCGACGAGCGCTGGCTGCGTGGACTTCCCTGCTGCGCGCCGATTACAATCTTGCGTTGCGTTGCGGGGCTGCCGTAGTTGTCGTTTGTCGGCGTACGGTGCCCGTCAGCATCTTGCTGCTCCGCCTCAGTTGGATGTTCAATGTCCTTATTCGGACTGCTGCTGCCGCCAATCGAGCCATAGCCAATGGCAACAGCATGCGCGCCATCGCTGGCATCACCCGCAGCATTGTGGAGAAGCCCTTCGCCGATGCCACCTTGCATGGCCGTGGGGCCAAGCTTTGGTATGTGCTCGGCGCTTTGGGGCTTTGGCTGAGATGTTTCGGGGATAGTGCCAACGCTGGGTTTTATCTTGACCGTGCTGATACGGGTAGTCTTGGGTCTGCTGGCTGCGTTGGAGGGGCCAAGGTGCTTGAGGTGCTCACGGAGCTCCGACGTGTTCTCGCGCAGGTCGAGGGCGGTAGTCTTGTTAAGCGAACCATTACCACTGCTGCGACGGCGCATAAGAAGCTTGACGTTGGGGCTACTGCTCATACGTCCGACAGAGGTGTTGCGGCTAGGAGTGCCATCGGTGGCACGCTGGCGCCTCTCGCCTTCAAGCAGACCGGTAGTCTCCGTTGCGTCATCGTCAACTTCCGACTCAACGATCTCGCCCTTCGGCACCCGGTTCCGGGGAGCAGGAGCGATACGCCGGATAGCCTTGTGGACGTCGATGAAAACGTCAGACTCGTCGATGATTTCCCTGCGATATTGTCAGTATCTCACATCAGGCGAATGGCCGGAAGTACTCACTCTCCAATCAGCTCCTCGATGACATCCTCAAGGGTGACGACACCAAGAGCACCATATGACTCGCCGGGGAAGTCGGAGACCAGAACCATGTGGGACTTGCCCTCCTGGAAGAAGTTGACAATGTCAAGGCAGCTGGTTTCGGGACGGGTCTCGGGCAGGGTGGCCAGAGCAAACTCGCGGACCTGCTTGCTGTCCTCCGGATCATAGGTAATCAGAAGCTTGACAAGAAGCATACCAACAAAGTTGCGCGGGTTATCCGGTTCGTAGATGGGAATGCGGGAATAACCGGCAGAAAGGATGGTGTCCATTGTTCTCTCGTTGAGAACAGTGTCTGCGGACATTGTAAAGACATCGTTCATAGGCGTCATGATGCTGCCGACGGGCTTGTCCTTCAAGTCCAGCACGGCGCTAATGATGGTGACCTCATCCTCATTGAGGCGGTCTTCGGGGCTGGTGCCGAGCGTCTTGTGCAGAGTAACAAGCGTCTTCAGGCCGGCCTTCTTGTACGTTGTACCGTGGTCCTCGCCCAAGAGGTAGTCCAGAAGCTTAGCGGTAGGCCAGGCGACGGGAGCCATGAGCCACATCAGAGCGAGGACGAGCGGCGCCATCCATGCTCCAATGGGCAGGCCGTATCGGACACAGATGGATTGAGGGACAATCTCGCCGAAAATGACTGTATGTGTACTGTTAGCCTATGTGGGTAGTGATCGTCATATGAGTTGTACTTGCCGATCAACACGGTACTGCCCAGCACCGCAGGCCAGCCTCCGCCGAGGGATCTATCGAGAACAATTGGAAGCGTCTCATTGGTGATGACATTGCTGAGCAGCAAAGTAACCAAAACCCAGTGCTTGCCCTTCTTGAGGAGGTTCAGAACGCGGGCAGCGCTCTTCCGCTCGGCTCCTTCGCCAGACGTAGCGATAACTTGGAGATAGATTTCATCTTGGCCCATCAATCTGCAGAGAAGTGGTTGTTAGAGACGGATTCGCAAGGAGAGGCAGCGATGGCGAATTGCAGCAAATGAGCGACTTACGCGATAGTCAAGCCGGCAAAAACTCCACCGAGCAGCACCAGGGCGATGGCGGTGCCCAGGTAGGCCCATAGTTGAGGGTCTTTCGGCTTCTTGGGCAGTTCCTCTTCGAGCGAGTGCAGCGGCAGAGGAGCAGCGCTGGCGACGGCTGAGAACAGCAAACTCGCTACGACGAGGACGAGAGGCCTTGCCGAGGCGAGGCCATGGTGGTGGGAGGCGAAAGGCCCGCTTGCCAGAGCTCTCGCAGCGACCAGAGACATTGGCTGCTCTGTGTGACGCCTTTTCGACAGGTGGTGGTCTGAGTGGGCGGGCGGCGGAGGTTTGAGAAAGCTCTGGTGCTCTGACCCCCCGATGATGTTTCGCCAGTGGCGCACAAGGAACCGCGCGATCTATGCGCGTGTGTGGAGACGGGAGACGGACACAACGTCGGTGGCGTGCCGTAGCCCGACACTGCTCGCTCGACGAGATGGTGTTGACAAAATTATCTCGGGCTAGCGCTGGGCTTTGCGTGAGACCTTGAACTCGCTCATGCAAGAGAGAGAGCGGGCGTAGCACCGGCGCTAATCCTTGCCCGCCGCTAGCCGTCCTTAGCCCTATCGCCTTGTCCACCCCGGCTTCCCCGCAGTGCGAGCTGCTGCTGTTGTCCCCTTCTGCAACACCATGCTAGGAGTCCGTCTGTTATCGAAAAGGGCGCTGCGTCCCTACTCTACCCATCCCCCCAACGCCCGCCTTAACCTGCCCATCGACTATGCTGCCACGCCTCTGCTCGCCCACGCCCCCAAGACCTGCCTGTCCAATCCCGAGCTGCCACACCACGTCCGCGATGGCAAAACCTCGCGCCTGAACCTCTTCCAAGCCGTCAACGCTGCCCTACGTCACGCCCTTGGCTCCGACGAACGTGTCCTCGTCTTCGGCGAAGATGTGGCCTTTGGCGGCGTCTTCCGCTGCTCCATGGGGCTAGCCAACGACTTTGGCACCGAGCGCGTCTTCAACACCCCCCTGAGCGAGCAGGGAATCGTTGGCTTTGCCATCGGCGCCGCCCTCGAGGGCATGAAGCCCGTCGCCGAGATCCAGTTCGCCGACTACGTCTACCCGGCCTTTGACCAGCTGGTCAACGAGGCTGCCAAGGTTCGCTACAGGGCCGGCTCCACGGACATGCATGCAGGTGGCTTGGTCGTGAGGATGCCCATGGGCGGCGTTGGCCATGGTGCTCTGTGAGTTTGGGTCCACTTGCTTTTGCAGTGGCTGGCCTCTAACCGCTTTGCAAGTTACCACTCGCAGTCTCCCGAGTCCCTCTTCACCCACGTCCCCGGCCTGCGCGTCGTGATCCCCCGTTCCCCCATCCAGGCCAAGGGCCTTCTCCTCTCGGCTATTGCCTCGCCCGACCCCGTCATCTTCATGGAGCCCAAGATCCTCTACCGCGCCGCCGTCGAGCAAGTCCCTAATGAGGCCTACACACTTCCCCTCTCCAAGGCTGAGATTCTCAAAGAAGGAAAGGACGTTACAATCATTTCCTATGGCACACCGCTATATAACTGCTTCAGCGCAATCGAGGCAGCGGAGAAGGACTTTGGTGTCAGTGTCGAACTGATCGATCTTAGGACTGTTTATCCATGGGATAGGCCGGCGATACTGGAGAGCGTGAAGAAGACGGGCCGTGCAATCGTCGTGCACGAGTCGATGATTAACGCTGGTGTAGGGGCTGAAGTCGCCGCTACCATCCAGGAGGGCGCATTTTTGAGGCTCGAGGCGCCAGTGCAGCGAGTAGCGGGCTGGAGCACGCACATGGGACTGGCATATGAGAAGTTTAATATCCCGGATGTCGTTCGTGAGTCTATCTGCTTGTGCTATCTATCTTCCGTGTGCTTACTTGCGACAGGGATTTACGACACAATTCGCAAGGTTATAGAGTATTGAGACGAGGACGGATTTAGTGGAGCATTTGACAACGATCTTAGCGTCTGATAGCGAGCATACCATCAATAAAGTTATACAAGCATCAAGCCGCAATCGTACCACCAACAAGAAGAGCGAGTGAGCATATAACACACTGCCATCGGTACGTCAAACGCACAAACCCCAGCCCAAACCCCAACTCCCACGCTCATCGCTCATCCCAAACGCACACCCCCATCCGCACCACCACAGGCACCGATCCCCCACGCACCTATAACACACCCGCTATCGCACCATCCCTACCCCAATCCCAATCCCTGCACGCAGATCCCCATCCTTGCACCCCGTGCACCCATCCCTGCCCGCAACCCAGTGGCACATCGGCAGCGCACCAGGCTTCCAGGGTCTCAAACCGCCCACGGCTCTGCTCTGCTGTCATTCTAGCACGCAAAGAGGACCCGATGCTGGCTTGCCGTGGTGTAGCAGACGCGGCGTGCGGCGTGTTGAGGCCACGGCATTGTCGCCAGACGGCAGACACATTGGCGACGTGGGGGCGGAGGCGGAGGCGGGCGCCGGCGCCGCGTTGCCGCTTTTCCCTATCTACTGTATGTGTGGAGAGGTGGGTGGCGTGCCGTGCTGTGCTGCGCTTGTCTGACGTCTTACAGTGTGTGTGGGGGGTGCTAAGCAGTCACTGGCTAGTGCGTGCGGCTGCGTGCATCTGCTTGTGAGACGCGCGGGGCTGCGGATCTTCATTCTTCAATATGAGGGCCTGCTTGCCTGCGGCGCTAGTGCTGCGGTCGCGTCTATTGGTGCTATGTAGCGTACTGGGTGCATGTGAATGGTATTGTGTTGTGTTGTGTTGTCCTGTCTGTCTGCCTGTCTGTCTGCCTGTCTGCCTGTCTGTGTAGAGGTCTGACATGCTGCTACCTATGCACCTACAGTTATGTCTTGAGCTACATACATAGGTACGTCCACCAAGCAGCTTCTGCACGCATGTATCGAGCACCAAGACAAGACAGACAAGCCAAGCAGTGACCTCGTCCCAGACTGGGTGAGCAAGCTTATCGGCCTCGATCGATTTGCTGGGTGCTGCGGCGCTGTGCATGCTGTGCATGCTATGCAATGCATTGCTATGCATTGCTATGCACTGCACTGCAACGCACTGCGCTGTGTGTGTGTTGCTTTCGCTGGTCTAGCGGATGCGTGCATTCTGCGTGCCACAAGATGGCCCGATCGAGCCGGCGTGCCGCGTTGGTGCGGTGTGGATTGGCTTGAATCGTAGATGTCGTTTGGCGGACTGCGGTGATTGGGTATGGTTGCCGGTGCTTGGACGGCTGTGCTGTTGCTGAGGTTGGGTGTGGGGTGTTTGTGGCGAATGGAACCGTTGCTGTGTGTTGGGTTTGGTGCTGGGCTTATTTGTTTGTGGGGCTGGGTAAGATGAAGACGATATCTCAAACGGATTGTCCGCGGACGGTGCCTGCGAGAAGGTTATGATGGTCGGAGGGGGATGTATTGTTTTATTCTACATGCGTTCACGAGCAACGAAATTGGCCGCGAACACAGGCTCAGGGTCTAGGTAAGAGGTAAGAAGCTATCCATAGGGAGCGTTCTCATCTACTTACAGGAGCATGTAGGCAAGATTGCAGTATCTCTGACATTTCAATTCAAGGGCACTCACAGAATACTGCTCACTATGGTAAGATAAATAACAGTATTCCCCCCTTCGATCGTGGTAAAAACGAAATAAGAAGTTAATGATCTTGATGTTCTTGTTGTCTCCAATACCAACTGTCCCGCAAACCTCATGCGCACACTATAAGTCGCAAGTGATCAAAAACGACCCTACAGACAAACGGTTGTTCGTTATTGGAAACATGATCATTCACTCTTCCTTCTAACAGCTGCTATATTTAGTTGTGATTTTTCCGCTCAGTAACAATTTCTATCCGGTTTTAGGGCTAGCTATTGTCAAGACCGCGTTTGTTGCCTAACCCGTACTGAAGTGAAGTGGGCGCGGCTTTTCCGACAGACTACTAGCATATTTTCTAGACTACTCTTTCCCCGTCTTTCAATCAGCTCGTCCCCTACGGCCTTTCAACCCCATCGACTTCTGCTCATTTCCTCCAACAAAGCCTGTGCAAAAGTCACCAGGCTCCGGGCGAGCCGCCAGATCCCATCATGTTAGACGCAGATACCAAAGGGTAAGAACAACATCCCTAGAGTTTTCAGGAAGCTTCAGTACAAGCTGACGTGTCTGCTAGTGGTCTTGCCAGCATTGAGGGCGTCTTTCACTTCGAAGTCGGCCCAGAAAGAGCTCGCTTCACCTTGCACAAGAACAGAGCAAAGGAATCTAAGCGACTTAAGGAGATCATGGCCGAAAGGAGTCAGGAGGGTTTCGCCGTTCTGGAGAGAGTCGACGCCTTCACGTTTGGCCGGTTCGAGGATTTTGTCTACACTAAAGACTACAGCTTCCCGAACCCGGAGCCGAAGACCATCACCCCAGAGGAGGAGAGCGTTGGCGAAGCCGCATCTCATACCGAGGACGTGAAGGATGCAGCTCGCTCTCAAGCGGATGCCGCGTCTAACACCAATTCGAGGGAAGACGAGGAGATAGTGGCAATCGCCACGGCCCTTAGTCGTCATAGAAGGGTGTTTCGATTCGCTCAACAGTTCCGAGTTGCCGATTTAAGGGATTTGGCGCAGGAAAGATCCTTTGCTCTAATGACCACTATTGACCCTGACATCAGAGAGCGCGTCCTGGAAGAATTCGAAAGGCTCAACCAAGAGATTTGACGAATAGATATGCAATTGGTCGGATAGCAGTCAGGGATTGGATACAAGATACGGCTGAGAGGTCAACTTCCTAAACTACTTAGTGGCGGGGTTGAGGGAGCCTCAGCTGCCGTGGTGTGTGCTAGGGTAGATAAAGCAAGAACGACTGAGCGTTCGCGTGGAAGGTGCGATATGCTGCCTGCCCACACTGAATTTTCGCCGTCCCCAGTGTCTCGCAACCTCAGACACATCTGTCACAGACACGCATCGAACGCAACTCGCAAAAGAATCTACTTGAAACGCGGTCACGATGCCTAACAATCACAATGGCAGCCACGCTCTTCCCCGTTACTACTTGCCTCCTCCCTCTATCTCTGTTCATATTAACAATTACTTCTACTCTCTTGCTCCTCCTCCCCTCCGCAGTCCTTCTCTCATACTATCACGCAAGCTTCACCGCCAACGGATCGTCATCACGGTGTACAAATCCATGTCGACGCTCCTCACTCGCAGCACATTGTGAATCCACAACCCGAAAGCAGCTACACAATTGCATACGACGCTACAAACCACCTCTTTTATCTCATGGGCATGAACATAGCCGACCCTCGCTACGAAGATCTAGCAATTGAGGTACATTCTCGTCTTAGCGACTTGGTTATTTCCATAAGGAACACATGTTTCCCAGAGACATCATCTGCGACCCAGACAGGCGTTGAACCTAGCCCGCTCAGCCACGGTCAAGATCTCGGACTCCACCAGCTCGACGTTCACAAAGTCGGTCAACCAGACCATCATGGTCAAAATGTCGAACCTCATCAGTTCAGTCAAGGTCAAAGTGTGCAAACTTCCGAGATTGATCAGTCCCATCCAGTTCAAACGGACCTTGTCGAGACCGAGAAGACCTTGTCAGCTCCTGCCGCCATCATCACCAAATCAGGATTGGAGAATCCTCAGTTCCAGACTACGTTCAAATCTACTTCGGGATTCAAGAACGGCATAGACATCCAAGCCTGGTGTAGATCGATTGTTCCAAATGAGATGGCTACAGACGCTGGTCTCGATGCTGAGGTCGCCGACAGTCTGCACTCCAATGCTGAACCGCTTGAGAGTGCATTGAAGTCAGGCAAGAAAAAGGCACCTAAGCGGCTACTCGGCCAAACTGGATTTGATGATCAGTCACCACTCGAGAGTTTGAAGAGAAGGCGCTCTGAACGTATACACCAGAGAACCAACCCCTCTAACTCATCTTGACTCTGCTTCGGATGTCCTTCTGCCATCTTCACGAGGACCGTTGCATGCAGTTTCAGTGGCAATTTAGCAGACCTTGCTAGAGATGATTCATCAACTTGCCAGGGGAAAGGATATACCTAGTCAAAGGTATTTCAAGTTTATTTTTCATTTGCAAACACAAATACCGATGACTGTTCGTGCTAACACTGCTCAAAGGAATCACTGCACACTGTGGTAATTTGACATTGCTTGCTTTTCCCGACTCAGAAGGCTTTAGTTGTATTAGCTATCTGGTCAAGAGGATATGTTCGATCAACAAGAGGTTCACAAATTAGTTGCCTTACTGCAAATCACTCTTACATACATTATAAGTACTTAGCTGTTATGAAGGCTCCGTGGACAGGATTATCCAAATGTTATTGACGGGTGGGAAGCTCTCTGTACATTTTCTCGTAGCGCTGCCTAGAAGCAACATGTAGCTCAATTTGTAATATCAGGACAAGCCATCTGAAGGCACGTTTACTGAATTTCTGTTGCCAATGAAGATATTTTACAAATGCTTGTAGAGCGGAAGTACTTTTTCTAGCTACAATGCCCACTTTAATAGGATACACCATTCATATATCTTCCTACCTACTGTGAAACCACAGTGCCTATTTATTTACTCATCTATTCATTTACGCTCCCACCTTGACTCCGCCTTCTATCACAACAAAAAGACCGAAATACCCCCTAGACTACGCCGCGCTTTTAATCTAAGCCTACGTACTATGGTTACTCCATATCAATCACTTCAATACCACCTTCACCTACATTAAGGTTGCAGATATCTGATATCAAATGCCCTAGGGACAACTGCATATGGTATAGTAAGAGTTTAAACTATAAGGGAGAACGTCCAGTTCATTGTAAAAGGGAACGGGTTTTGTATCGCAAGGGAGCTATTTCAGAGGAAGACGATAAGGGAAAGATAGAAAGGGTGGGGATACAGACAGTAGGAAGGACCAAAGGGCAGAGCAAGAGGTAAGCACTCTGTGAACCTCAATGGCGTAGAGATTCTAACTAACTCTCCACAGTAACATCCACCTCAACTTACCTGCATGCACAGGATAGATTCCGATGCATCCAGGATAGTCGTCAAACGGCCCTAGACTTCGTTGTTCTCGTTTTTATCATACTTTCATCCCGACGGATTGCTTATTCCAAAGAGAAACTTCCAATGACGGAAAATACGTCATATCCACGTTCCTTTCCCACTCATTGCAACATGGCCGGCTTGACTAATAAGATATCCTATGCTATACACCGTTTTCAATCGGCTTATCCATATTTACAGTCCTATTCCAGAACCGATATCACGGCGGGTTTCACATCTTATACCGACGTAAGAGGAAGCCATAAGCATCCTATAAACGGCATCAAACACCAAAACGACCCAACACTTAGAGTCCTCTCAGTCTGAAGCAGTTAGTCAAGCAGACATATTTCGTCAGCAAAAACCCAAACATACAAGAAGATTGGAAGTCTAAAGCCAAGCATGAGAGACTTACAACGCGAGCAAAGGCATACAGAATGGTATAGAGTCAAAGCACTGTTCACTTGCCCAGTAAAATTGGCCACCGAACGATTGACAAAGATAAAAAAAATCACTTTAGACTTCCCGTTGGTTAAAGGGAAATACAGTATTCTCAACCTTCGCCACAAGAGCTTGGTACAGTCACCATTTGTGGTGACGAAAGCATCTGATAAAGATGTTAAGGAGCCCGCAAACATGGAAAGTTGTGTGGTTTCGTTTACTGTTACTTCCCCGGCTTAGCTGTCTTCTTATTTCACTGGCATGTATATAGAGCTCTCGCGCTTTTCACTTTATCGACCGAAAAATCAATCATACTTGATAAGTGCAATAAATGTTCATTTAGTAAATGAATTACAAGAACTCTGTTTACAACAGCCTATATTCGAGGCACACTTCTTGTCTTTTTCAGTGTCTTTAGATTCGTTTATATGCCTTTCTATTTGTCGAAGCAGGCGCTGGATGGGAGATTAAGGATGGCGGGCGCTTAGTCAAAGCTCGAAGATGAAAAAATAGTTCTATGAAGAGCAAGATACTTTAGAGCATGCCTATATTAGTTAGGTTAGAGCTCTATTGTGAGTGTAAGGTTTATCTGATCTGCTTAACCAGGGCCCTAGTTTGTTCGATTTAAATAGGCAACTTGAGGCGTGTTAAATTGATTTAACTAAGAGCCTGATGCGCCTAATTATGCCCTTGACGCGCCCCATTAAGGCCCTGATTCGCATGCGTGGTCTCTTTGACCCGACTGCTGCGTCGATAACAGTGCCATCTTCCCTTTCGCTATCATTGTTATGCTCACCCCCCTGCAAATCGTCACCCTGCGCCACCGTGCCATCTTCTCTGTTGCTGTCAGTATCATGCTCGCCACCCTTGCTCTCATTCCCGTGTCTCCTATCCTCATTCCCCTGCGCTGGTGCGTCGATGTCAGCATGCTGATTGCTTAAACTTTGAACGACTCTCTTGTGGTCTTCAGAGAAACCAGCCTTGGTAGTAGAAGGTTGCATTTCGGCGCCACTGTGGAGTAGCATCTGAACGATCTTCTCGTGGCCATTGTAGAAGGCTGCCTGGAGAGCATTCCTATATGAGCAACCGCCTTGCGCATTGACATCGGCTCCCTTGTCGAGTAATACTTGAACGACCTTCTCGTGGCCGTTGTAGGAAGCAGCTTGGAGAGCGTTCCTATACAAGCAGCCGCTTTGCGCGTTAACGTCAGCTCCCTTTTCGAGCAGTATTTGGACAACTTTCTCATGACCCCCGTATGAGGCAATTTGAAGTGCATTCCCAAGATAGTCGTCAGTTTGTGCGTTCGCGTCGGCGCCTTTATCGAGCAGTATTTGGACGACCTTTTCGAAGCCCATATAGGAAGCGGTGTTGAAAATATTAGAGTCTTCTGCTCCTCTATCGAGCAATATTTGAGCGATCTTCTCGTGGGCCATATTACATGCAACCTGGAGAGCATTGCCAGTATAGTAGCTGCCTTCTGCGTTGACATCGGCGCCCTTATCAAGTATTATCTGCAGTATCTCCTCCAAGCCTGTTAAAGAAGCCCCCAGCAAAAGGTCGTTGAGGTAGTTTTTCTGCTCGTTGGTATTGACTTCCATATTCACAAGCGTACGAGCAATCGCGCTTTGAAACTGCTGCCGGATTGGTTGGTCAAAATGCCAGATCAAGTCTCCGAGTATCGCTCGAGTGATGGTAATTGTATGGCTCCGCCGCTGAAGAAGTAACTCCATGGTCTTATTTCGAGCTTGCGTTTTATGTCGCGCCACTGCAATAATCACATTTTCTGTGATTCTTACTTCTTCTCCTCGTTTGTCCAGCAGCAACTTCATAATTTTTTCATCGAACCGGAAAGCAATGGTTCCGACTGTCCAGTCGCTGACATCGAGTGTGTCTCCTCGCCTTTGTAGAAGCAGTTCTATGATCTTTGGACCGTTTATTTCATTTTGTACAACTGCTTCTAGGATATCATCTGTTATTTCAATATCAGCTTCTCGGCTATCGAGCAGTAACTCCATAAGCCGGTGGTTGAATGAACGCGCAATGATTTCCGCAATTTTATTCGCATTAGCAGCAGTGTTTGTTTGCGAGTCAAGAATCAAAGTTATGATCCCCCTTTCCAATGCTCGTGTTCCCATTTGGGTCTGATTGCGTTCAAAACTTTCGATTTTGTTTTCCGTTTTTGTTGTGGTCTGATTGCTTTTTTTGCATTTTGCGTTTTCGATCATGTCTCTCGTTCCAATACTGGACTGATTGCGTTTAGAGTTTTCGATTATATTTTCCGAGCTGTAAGGTATGTCCGAGAGGGCAGCCTTACAGCAGTCGCTGGGAGTAGCAGTAGTTGACCATGCTCCCATGCTTCCTGAGTGACTTGGTGATGTATATCTTCCCGATGAGTGACCTGCCGATGTTGTGGCTTGTTTACGAAGTCTACGCTGTTGGCTGCAAGAAAAAATACTGCACCAGATTGAGTCAGCCATCGGTGGCAAAGGAGCCTGAAAGTGAGAGCGTGTGAACGTCTTTTTCCAAACATGGCTATGCGCGTAATATACTTCGGGGGGAGGGTTTCCGGTCTCGTTGTAATAGATGCTCTGGTCTAGGACTGAACAATGCTTGGCGTAAAAGAGTAGCCTTTTGTTTACTCGAGGTCCTGTGCCAGAAGCGTTGACATGGAGAATGCCACCAAGCACTTGACCAATAGTAGCTCCTAATGGCATAATCATCAATTCTTCCGTAGGAGTTCCTTTTCCTTTGAGTAAGGACACCAATGGAAGGATATCATTGTGGTAGAGCAGAGTGAGCACGCATGTGCTATAGCTATACCGACGGAAATTAAGGCGGGAAGTGTTGAGCCTGAATTGGAAAGAGCAAAGGTTGGCAAGTATGGCAATCCTATCAGAGACGACGAGGTTGTTGCGCTTTTCTATTTGTTGGAAAATATCGGTGAGCGAAGCTTTTCCATATCGAGACCACGATGATTGTTGGATTGTGTGGCCGAGCGGGCCTTGAGATGCATTCCATCTGTAACCAGAAAGAGATACAATATTCTCTTCAAGCATTTCGGGGATGGAGGATCCATCTGAAGCAGTCTCTGGTAAAGCCTGGTCCCGAAGTAGGCAGGCAAGGAGGTAAACCGCATCGCAAAGAGACTGCAAATGAAGGTCCACTTCTTGGATGGTCTTCCCTAAAATAGGAGGAAGCCTATCAAATTCCAGGAAAGAAGAAACTGGGAGCAGCAAGCGAAATCCATGTGGAATTGAACAGTATTCCTCTTGGAACGTCCATGTTCTAGAATAATACTTGTCGTCTTGGATTGCCTGCAACAGTTTGAGAATCTGGCCGGCAAACTGAACAGGGTCTTCAAAATTTAGAAGGAAATGCTTGTGGGTTTCATCCTCTGTGGCTCTCAAAGCATCCAGAAGCGCCTTGAGTGCCTCTAGCTGGTCAAAATCAAAAATATGGCGTGTCAGAAGCCCTATAGCATGGTTGCTTTCGGAGTATATCTTGTGCATCGATTTTAAATGCTTTTGTACGTCTTCCGGATTATCTTGGTTTATACACTCCTGGTCAATCCATATAAAAGGCACTGCCTTTGCTTGGGCGTATTGAAGTGTTCGATGAATTACTCGAGTTGGACACCTCAGAGGCCTGGTCTGTCCGTTCGGTGCCAATATTGCATAGCTGAAGTCGAGCGAGTCTTCGTCTGGCGAGCCCCAGCAGTAAGAGACAGCAACGTAGTTTCGTTCATCAAGATTTTCCGTTTTGTCGGCTAGGCGAAGAATGACAGTGCCATCCACTGTACGGCCATGCGGATCGGTACAGAGGAATCTTAGAGAAGTTTCTATTCCGGGACAGTTGTGGTCGACATACTCCAATGCGCGCTCAATTTCTTTCATATGGGTCAGCAGGCTTGCATGGCTGCCATGGATCTCCTGAAAGGTTTTTTGAGTATCCCGTTCCATACTGGAAAGAAGGCAGTCCTTGGAAGAGCCGACGTATTGTGTTATAAAGATGCACGTATGGTTCGAGTCTTAGAAGGAGGAGAAAGAGCATATGGCTGCTGGTTGTTCCTTAACATTCCGCTCGGCCAGTAGAAAAAGTTAAGAATTCGCAAGGTTAACAGCGAAGAAAATTTATAGATCCACAGTGACAGTAAGTTAGACTGGAGCAGTGTTGTCGACACGTGTAGGATAATAATTGGCTAGAGAGAAGGCAACAACTGCACAGCCATCCACGACGACGCTAGTGCAAATCGGTGTAGATCTTGTGGGGACAGGACGTTGATATGGGGAAGCTCAGAAAACTCCACAATTGGTTGCTGTCTCGATATCCACTTGTTCGTAGTTGCCAGAGGAGAACCGGTTAACCAAAGGAATGTTAAGGTAGAAGCAAGATGAAGTGGGGTTGCCAGCTGCTTGCATGCATAGCCGAGGATTACGTGGACTGTTGCTTTTATCAGGTTGCCTAATTTGCCTTAGACATATATTAAGATGGTTCGCGGGAACGTGTCTCACCTGATTATAGCCAAGTATTTGCGGTTAAATAGTTAACTATTAGTTAGTCATGCATTGCGTATGCTCCTGCTATATTTTTATTTAAGTATTCCAGAAGGAATCATCGCCACGTTAGATAGTGATATGTCAAGCTTACCTCGAATGACTTATACCGTAATCATTAAATCAAACAGTGTGGCTTTGAACAGGCAGCAATTTCTCGTATGAGGCTTTGGTGTCCCATAGTCGTTGTATGAATTGACTTTTGAGCATGGCCTACAAAAAACATATTAGGAAGACTACAAAGTCCGAGGAAATAGGACCATTGATTGATTTGCCCACTTAAACACCATAACAGCCCACCTTATCATACTTCCGGGCATCAACTCTACACCTCCAGCTCAAAAGAAATCACTTTTGAATGCTAAAACCGTCAGCACCATCCATCAACCTCAGCAATAAACTCACCTCCCGGATCCAACGCCGCAGCGTACATCACCAGCGTAATCGGCAGCAAATCCGGTTCAGCATTAAGTCCAGCGCTGCCATCCTCTACCGGCACAGGCGCCACACCTGCCTTCTCCCACCCGTCAACGATGTTTCGTGCCTCAACAGCCCATTCCTCACCCTCCGTTGCGCAGCCAATCCCCAAGCAAGTTCCGAACTCCCGGAACGCGAGCCTGCGACGGACACTCGCGTCGAAGTAGCCCTCATCGATAACAGTGCGCAAGTCCCGCTTGGCCCGCTCCACCAGACCAGTCGCCCAGTCCGTTTTCCCAGCAAACCAGTGCGCCGTCCAGAGCGTCATGCCAAGGTCAAGGGGGTCCTGGCTCGAATATCCCTCCCATTTGGTCTTCACGATCTTCTCGTAGTCCGCGATCTCATCTTCAAGGACATCACTCCCTTCACCATCCGTCTCCCTCAACAGCAAACACACAGCAAGCCCATCAACCGGGTCCAAATTCCCCTCAATGCGCACGAGCGGCGCCGACAAATCCATCTTAACCTTCCAAAACATGCGCGGACGGGCCTTGTCCCTGTCATACACGAACGCGGGATGAACGGCGCGCATCAACGCCACCGCATCGTCATTCCAGCGCTTCTCCCCGCTTGCCCGGCTCAGCCGGCTCAGCGCAAACATCCACAGCGTCAGGTAGTGGTGGTACTGGCCGTCGCCGTCGGAGCCGCTCGCTGCCTCTTTGCCGATGCGCAGACCCCCGCCTAGTGGGTTCGCGGCTGATGCTCCGGGTAGTCGTGCCGTGCCGTCGCGCGTGCGGCCCAGCGTGTCGTGTACGGCTGTTGCGAGAGACCGTGCGTGCTGCAGATAGAGCGGGGAGGAGGTCCGCTTGTGTAGGGTTAGGAAGTTGAGGAGTCCGAAGGCGTCGGTCCATAGGTAACGCCCTTTGTGGCCGGCGGAGGCGGGGGGTGGCGTCCAGGGCTCGGTGGTGGTGGGGAAGCGGTAGACGCGTTGCATGGCGGTTGTGAACTTGGCGAGACGGTCGGAGGTGGCCATGTTGTTAGGATGGTGTTAGATAAGGTGAGTGGTAGGTTTAATGTGTTGTTTTTGCCTGTCGTTGATATGATATAGGTAGTGAGCTTCCTTCGCTGTTTGCGTCACAATGCGTCAGTTCACGTGAAGGGTCGATTCGATTACCTCGTTTGGAAGCAAGACAATTTCGAACATCTCAGATGCTGCAAAATTCACATTTCGACAGAGTCTGACGCGTGATGATCTTGGTCGCGGTTATATTGACGGCGTTTAGCGTTCCGGGTAACTGTTGAGTGATCATGGTCAAGGAGTTAGAACACCCAGCAGTCGAAGGTGTATATTCCTAGCACAAAATAAAGTAGCGGAGGAGGCACAGCAGCCAACCAAGTAGATATATAAGCAACCTCCCTCCCTCAAGCATCTCCAACCAAGCTACCAGCGACCCGGAAGCCAGCATACAAGCGACTCTGCATCAGTTCATACTGGGGCGTTCGTGAACACCATCTCTGAACAGCCTCCCGACACTCTTTTAACTCTCACTAATGCCCATAAGACATACTCAGGCCCATACAGCATCGACGCACATCACCAGCAGCCGCCAACGACGCACGCCAGCACTTTCGTACGCTAACACTCCTTCCAGACAGATTCCACTGCAGATCGCAACCCAACCACTAAGCACCAAATAACGTCAAAAAGGAGCGAAGACGCGTTTAGTCCCTTGCATACTTGGTCCCTAGGGATTGGTGAATGGCAAGGAATCAACGGTAGACACTGTTTGTAAGGTTAGGAAGTACTAGTCACAGCAAGATAAAACAGCCACGAACCACGTGTTCTCAATAACGCCTCCACTTACCTTGCACCACCAACACCCCTACATGCTTCCACTTCAATGACTGTCTTTAGCAGTTCAAGCCTCGACATAGTCCACAACATGAAAGACCAAGGAACCACATGCTCTCCTATTTATACCACATCACCACACACAACACCACACACACCATCACCATAATTCACACAGCACCACAAAGCCCACGAACAAGCCAACAACAACAACAACAACAACAACAACAACAACAACACAACAGCAATGAAGAAGTCAAAGTGTGCAATTTCTCCCGTCCCAAAAGGTGGTCCCAAAAAGGTATATGTAAAAGAATGAACAAGAAGAAAAGAAGAAAAAAAAAAAAAAAGAAAAGAAAAGAAGAAAAGGCAGGAGATCTATACATCGATCGCCTCCGCTCCACACCAGAGAAAAGAGAAAAGTATCTAGCAGGTCCAGTCCAGTCCAGTCCGAAAGCGAAGAAGCCTCCTCTTCTATACACATACAACCTCCTAACCAACCTCCCAACCAACTAACCCTTCACAAATGGATATCAAAACAGAAGAAGTAACACTCTCCCTCTCTCCTCAACCCCATCCCCTAAAACTCATTCGCAGTAACAAACCTTTCAGGCGCCGGCCGTTCAGGCAACTCCGCCTCCTCCTCCGCCCTTCTCTCGGCCTCACTGCTCGCCTCCGTGAGCACCCTCTCGGCGCGCCCATCCTCCTCGCTCCCCCGCTTATCCGCCGCATCCCCCACACTCGCAGCACAGCTCCGCGCCCACGTTCCCGCGCTCTCGTGCTTCGCGCGCACGCTCTCCGCGTCCGTCCCGCTACCGCTGCCATCCGTGCGCTGGCTCGCGAAGCTCATCAGCGTCGTCGTGCTCGGGTTCGGCCGGTGGTGCCCCGTGTTCAGCTTGAAGGGGTACGCGATGCCCTCCCGCGTCGGGCGTGTGCTGCCCGTGTCGCTGGCGGGGACGATCGTAGGGGGCGCTCCCTCCGCCGCGTGCGCGCTGTCTATCACGATCGCCGGCCCGTGCCGGTTCTCGTTCGCGGCCTGCTGTGCGGCGACTGGATCCGCGTTGCCTGACCCTGCCGCTGCGGCCGCGGCTGCCGGTCCTATGGCCGACGCGGTGACGTGGCCGGGCGCGAAGTCCGAGCCTGTGTCCGGCGAGTCCTCCGACATGCCCGTCGTCGTTTGGCTTTGGCCCTCGTCCGTGACGGTGCGCCGCATCGAGTGCGAGCGGCGGCGGCTCTCAACCGTGTTGCGCCTGTCACGGCCCCTAGCGGCCGCACTGACCGACTGCGAACGCCGCGGCGCCCGGCCATCGCTCGTGACGGCGCGGTCGGAGCCGCGGCTGGAGCTGGCTTCGGCGCGGCGCTCGAGCTGTACCCGTGTTTGGTCGTGCTTGCTGCCCCAGCCGCTCCACATGGACATGCCCCAGCTCTTCTTGACCTTCTTCAACTTCGGCATGTCCTTGAGCCTACGCCCGGCCAGGGCCGTTGGCGGCGGCGTCTCCCCTTCAAACTCCTCGTAGCCTCCCGCGGCGAGCTCCTCGATGCGTTTTTTCTGCAGGTTGCGCTTTTCCTTGGCGAACTTTGTGGCCCATTTCTGCTGCGACGCCATCCATTTACGTACGGGGATTTCTTTGATCGCGCCAATGCTCTCGGAGGGCATCTGCAAAGCCTCGATCTGGGAGATGGGCTCCATGGCGCGGATCTTGCCGTGTCGGTTGATACGCTGGCGGACCATGTGGTCGTGGAACTCGGGGATGGGATCGCCGGCACGACCGACGACCTCTTCCTCGTCAGTGACGCCAGACATGGGGGTGGCGCCGTCGACGCCGTCAGTGTTATCCGATGGCTTGGCGTTAGACCGCGACCGTCCGGCGTCATCTCCGGAGGAGCTGCTGTTGGAAATGGACTCGGTGTCTTCGATGTCGATGGAAATTTGCTGAGCCCTTGCCAGAGCCCAGGCACCGAATTGCGCAATGGAGCGGTACATGAACTTTGCGGGCCTTGTGAAACTCAGAGTAGGTCCAACGTGGCACATGTCGTCCCAAACCTCGAGCTTGACGTCTGTCGGGCCATAGCGCCTGATTTCAGCCATGACGTGCTCGACCTGATCGGGAGAACAATGGGAGAGATCAGGCAGATAATCCGACGGGTGAGCAGCCTTGTGCGCAAGGTAGATCTGCTCATCGCGGAGAAGCTCACCACCGCCAACCTGGATGAGCAGCGGAGGAAGCCCACCAAGCGTAGGCTGAAGAGCTGGAGAAACCAGCGGGTGCGTGAGCAGATGGTTCGCAGCGTAAAGCTGGATCTGGTCCTTGATGGTGATGAGCTGGCCATCGATCGTGATGGAAAGGTTCGGCGGCGGGGCGGCAACGTATCTGTGGAACGCGGTGTTGGCGAATTCCGGCGGAGGCTGGTTGACGGAAGGTTGTTCGGTGCCGGGTTGCTCAATGGAGTATCCTCGAGCACGCTCCTTTTTCGCTTCCTCCGACACACCCTTGCCCGACTTGCCTTTTCCGAGCTTCGCAGTGAGATCCATGGAACCCTTTTCGATAGCAGCCATGTCGTCGGCGTTCGGCGGAGGCCACGACACCGATGGCTTGTGCATGAATCCGAATGATGGAATATAATCTTGTTCGTCGTTTCCGCCAACGCTTGGGAAAGAGTGGGTTAAGTCGACCCAGGGACTCAGCAAAATGCCACCCGCCGGCAGAGCAATGCCCTGGTCACGGAGCGTGACAAGCATGGAAAGAATCATTCCTCCGCCAGCCGAGTCACCCGCGACCAAGATGGTAGCCGGGTCATGGCCCTCCTCGAGCAGGTACAGGTAGGTAGCGAGAGAGTCCTGGAGGCCACAGGGGAAGGGAAATTGGGGCGCCAATCGGTAGCGGGGAGCTAGGATGCGAGCCTTGAGCTTGCGCGCGTGTCTCTGCATCTGGTAGCGATGCTCGTCGACACTGCCAAAGTAGTAGGCTCCGCCATGAACGTACAGCATGATGCGCTGCGGCGCGTCATCACCAACAGCGACGCGTTCTTGGTAATCATTGCGCATTTCGATCCATTCGGCCTTGAGGTCGGCATTGTCGCGACGCCATTGCCACCAGGTCTTGCCGCCTACACGTTCAATTCCATCGGGGCCGAGTTGATGTTGCAAGAGGTCCGCGGCCTGGTTGAGCTTGTGACGGGGGATAGTGATGGCGTCGGTCTTGACCCAATGGGGCACGGGAACCCATTGCTGGGTGAAAGCCTGGATTTCATCGACGGTGTGGTTGGCGGCGACGTGCAGGAACTTGCGGACGAGTTGGAGGCCTTCGTCGTAGCTGATGTGGGCCGTGGGTTTTTCGCGATGCGGCTTCCGGTTGAGATACTAGCGGCGGGTGAGCGGGAGCGGGGGCGGGAGGGGTGAGTGACGTACATGCGAGACATACGTCTCGATGATGGTGGGCGTGACGGCAGCGCCGACAGTGAGGGTGTTGAGGACCATGACAGGGCGAAATTAAGCAGCCCGGTTGGGGCGGAAAGGAGAGACAGAAAAAAAAAAAAAAAAAAGAGGGGATAAGCGGTTAACGAGAGTGACGCGAAGAGATAGGGAAACAAAGAAAGGAGAGATAATAGGAAAATATAAACAACCAAAAAAAAGACGCAAGCTAGTGATAGGATGGGGGAGTTGTAGGTGTGGATAGGAGACGCCAGGACGCGCATGAGACTTGGGATATTCGTGGGGAGGCTTAGCGGGCGCATGTGGCGTCATCTGGGCCATTTGGATCTGCGGGTGCGCGGCCGGCCAAAGCTCGCCCGTGTGCCCGTCGCATTTTTCAGGCCCCGCGTGTCCGCACGTCGTTCGTTCGACGACACCAACCCACCAGAAAAATGTCCACGGCCTCTACCCCCACCGCCAATCCCTCTGGTGCGTCGCCAAAGCCCGCTCTCGACTCCGCCCGCTGACGCCTCTCTCTCTGCGAATAGACAAGCTCAAGGCCGACCGCTTCGGTCAGGGTATCTGGTTCGCCCTGCAGGCCTGGCCCGCCCTCACTGTCGCCATCCAGTCCCAGTTCGGTGGGCCCGATGGAGCTGACAAGCGCGACTGGCTGGCCGGTGCCATAGCCGACATCTTCGTCGATAACCCCGACACCGACCAGCTCGACGTCGAAACTATTCTGTTGCAGGTCATGGAGGACGAGTTTGAGGTGCGCCTCGAGGATGAGAGCGAGGTCGCTGTCGCCCACACCATCATGAAGATCCACACCGAAATCTTCCACGAAGCCAAGTTCACCACCGTCGACGCCATGGAGAAGCGCTGGGTCGACCGTCGCGGCAAGGGTCCTAACCTGGGCAATGTTCGCGTTGTCGAAAACGATGGAACCAACAACAACAACAACGATGACGATGACGACGTCTATACTGATGAGGAAGATGGCGAGGATATGGACATGGATGAGGCGCCACCGCTCGTGCCCACCGCGCCCAAGGAGAAGCCCGAGCCTGAGGTGGATGAGGATGGTTTCACCAAGGTCATCAAGAAGAGACGTTGAAGAGACGAGGGTCTCTTACGAAGTTACTTTTTGGCATTGCACTGGCGTTGAGGAGTGATCTAAAAGCGCTGGAGCGGGACGGCTGGAGCTGACGGCTGGGAGTTGATTTCAGAATAGACTTGACTTCATGGTAGACATGATACCCGCGTGATATGTAGATAGTCAGCGATGGTCATGTCAGTTCAACGTGCCGTCGTACGCGTCGATGGCGATGCGACGCTACGTACATGGTACTCCACCCAAATTTGTCCAGCCCTGATTACGTAGTAGTACGGGAAGATCCGAGAGGTCGAGTGCCCGTGTGCTCGCAGCTCTACATATTTGTACCTAGCTAAATTACCGTTTCGAGTGAGCTGACATGGTTGTTATGTAGTCGTTTGTAATAATTTGATTAGTTGTAGTCCGGTCGACGTTTGCGTCTACTGAAGTAGAAGTATATATCCAACACTGGACATGACTAAATCAACCGCAAGTGCAGCGGGAACATCCGCGCCCCGAGCCCCTCGGATCACCAAGACACAGACAACCCTCGGCCTCGCATACATCGACACGCATCGAGTTACCCACCCGGTGAACCAATCCCAACCTACGCCTGCCACGGCGCACACCCAGCATCATGGACGTCGCCTACGACTACATCCAGGAGGAGAGCTTCCCCGACGACGATCAGCACCCCAAGGACGCGCCCAAGCCGGAAGCAGCACCGCCGCAAAACAGCTTCAACAACGAGGTCCAAGAGGCATACAAAGCCATCTCCAGCAGTCCATGGGCGGCACGGATCGGGGGATTCTGGGGCACGGTCAAGAAACAGGTGCGACGGTGCGAGGGCGAGCGGGCTTCTCAGGGCTGACGGCATCTTCAGGGCGAGAGCTACTATGAGACGGCGCGGCAGCAGTCGACGCCCGCGCTGGAGCAAGCCAGCAAGGGCCTGACGGACCTGCGCTCGACGCTGACGACGCACGCGCGCAACATCTCGACGAACCTGCCGCAGCTGCCAGCCGAGGGCGGCGGGGAGGCCAGCAGCGCCGCAACCAGCACGCGCACCATCACCGACAAAGACGGCAACACGATCGAAGTGAGCGCGGCAGCGACGGTGCCCGAGAACCCCACCACGGCGCACGCGGAGCGCTCCGAGAACCTGTCGGCCGACATAGTCAAGGAGGCCGAGGGCATGCTGTCGCTGCTGCGGTTCGAGGGCGCCAAGCGGCTCAAGGACATCCAGAAGGCCGAGGACGCCGCCGACGAGGCCCTCCTCAAATTCGGCACCAACATCCGCGATTTCCTGCGCGACGCGGTGACGATCACGGGGCCGGGCAGCGAGGGAGCGGGCGGGGCCGACGCGGCGGGGCAGTCCAGCAAGGTGCTTTTCGAGAGCAAGGACGTCGACGGCAAGCGCGTCATCCATACCACGCGCTTCGATGCCCAGCTGCACGTCATCCACAGCTCGCTCGACAGTTTCGTGCATGACCCCGAGAGCCCGGAATGGGCCAAGTGGGCCGCTGAGTTTGATATCGACAAGAAGACGGCCGATATTGCTAAGGATCTGGAAAAGTACAAGGAGCTGCGTCGCGCTATGGAAGCCTTGGTCCCCGAGAAGGTCGAGTACACGCCTTTCTGGACGCGCTACTATTTCCTGCGCCACGTCATCGAGAGCGAGGAGCAGCGCCGGAGGGAGATGCTCAAAGGTACCAAATTCTCCCCCACAACGCAGCAACCCACCAAACCCCTCTAACCTCCCCACTAACACGCCCATCCCAGCCTCCGCAACAGCAACAACCGAAAACGAGCCCTCCTGGGACGACGACTCGGACGCCGAAGCCGAAACCCCAAACGCAGGTGCAAACGCAGGCACAGACAGCACCTCGAAGCCCGCAACGCCCAACCCGCTCGCCGCATCCAAAGAGACGCTCAAACCCGCCGCGCCCGCCGAAAAGCCCAAAAACGCCACCGACGCCCTCCGCGAACACGACCTGCACTCCCAGCCCGACAGCGACGCCAGCTACGACCTTGTTAGCGGCGCGACGAGCCGGGCGCCTGGGAGTCCGGGGGAGGAGAAAAAGAGGGTCGATGTTGAGGCGAAGGGGCAGGTCGAGGAGAGCGATGAGGAGGATTGGGAGTAGGTTGGTGGTGTAGTGGTGGTGGTGGTGGGGGGATGGAGAGGTGGGGAGGGTGAGTGAAGTGTTTGAGGCAGAGACGGGAGAAGCGGTGTCGGACCTGCAGGGCAGGACGAAAGACGCGGGTTGCGGATGGGATGGGATGGGGATGGAGAATATGACAGACATGCCATGGCACGACACGGCCCGAGCAGAGCTGGAGCTAGGTAGGTAGGTAGGCGCGCGGGTTAACGTTTTGTACGTACATATGCTGTAGTCTTTTTTCTTCGTGGAATCGTTTCGGAGTCATGTTTGTTCTTGGGGTTTGTGGGTATCTGGTCTGAGTTGGGCTGGTTGAGCTACCTGCTGAACTGTCTTTGTCTGTTTGTCTGCCTGGCTTTCTGTCTGTCACCACCTCCATACCTCCCTAGGTAGCTACCGCAAGCAAACGACACCGTCCCTACAAAGCAACCCCATTCTCAGCCCCTCCATCCACCCATCTCTCCCTCCCTCTCTTCACCACCCCTCAAACACCCCTCCTCCTATCCTATCCTCTCGAAGGCGACGCCCCACCACTCCCACTCCCACTCCTTCCATGCCTCTCACCCCGATCACCCCGCCCATGCCTCTCACCCTGCTCGTCCCGCCCGCCCAACCCACTCTCCCGCGAACGCACCGCTTTCCGCAACAGCGGGCTCGCGCTCGCAGCCGCCTCTCGCGAGCGCAACGGCACGTCTGGATGGGGCAGCGGGCTGCGGCGCGCGCTGCTGCTGCCGCTTCTGCTGTTCGGGCTGTGGGGGTAGAGGCGGTCGTTCGTGTAGCTGCCTTCGCGGATGTAGCTCCTTTCACCGCCATAGCTCCTTTCACTCGCGTAGCTCCTTTCAGTCGCGAAGCTCCTCTCAGTCGCGCCGCCCCTCTCATCCTCCCACTCTCCCTCCTCGCCCGCCGCGCCATAGCTCTGCTCCAAATACTCCTCGCCGCGTCGCTTGATCGGGCTCTCGTCGTAGGGATCGAAGCCGACGCGCCTCGCGGCATCCGAGCGCACCCGCCGCCGGAGATCGGAGTCGCCGCCTGCGCCGACCGTGCTGCTTTCCGAGAGGAAGAAGGTGAGCAGCTCGTCTGGGATGGAGAGGTGCGACGCTTGTTGGAATTGCTGCAGCGCCGTGAGCCGGATCAGCATCTCGAGGAGGGAGAGCGAGGTGCGGATGGCCGGGAGGTGGGGTTGTTGGGGGTGATCACTGGGGTGCGTGGGGAAGGGGGAGTGCGAGGGTGTGCGGGGGGTTGTGAGGGCCGTGGCGTTGTGATGGTGCGCGGGTGACGGCGTCCGTAGGTTCAGGTGCGAGAGGTTGGCTGCGAGGTTGTCTCCGCTGGGGGAGAGGGGCGTGCGAGATGGAGGCGTGTGTTGTGCGTCGCTTTCATCGCCGCCGTCGTCTTCGTCGTCCGAGTCTGGTGCTTCGACGTATACTTCGAAGGCGATCCACTCCGGGTCGAGGTTCGGTGGGAGGCGCCAGGCATCTGGGGGAGCCTCTTCTTCCTGCGGTGGCTCTTCTTCGGGCTCCCGTGTTGATTCGCGGAAGAGCTGCGCGTCGACTTCGTCTTGGTCGTCTTGTTGGGCTCCTGTCGACACATTGTCTGGGTTTTTTGCCTCTTCTTCCTCCTCGTCTTCGTACCACGGCCGTTCAGTGGTTTGGCGTTCCATCATCTTCCGAGGCGGAACAGCGTTGGGGTCGCGCTTGAGCAAGAGTATAGGGCTATTGGCTTCGCCTTCGCTGCCTATATTTAGGATTTTTCCCGTGTCGGCGTAGAAGATTTTGGACACTTCGTGAATGGGGAATATTTCGCGGATACCAGCTTGAGCTACGCCCTCGAACGGACCAGGTTGTAGTTCGCCCTCCTCGAACGTATGCACGCGGTCGTCGTCCAGGTCTTCTATGATGTGCAATTGGTAGGCAAACTCAAAGGCTTTGCCTTCAGAGGGTACGTGTGACGGATGCTGATCTCCAGCATTGCCGTTGAAGCGCGATTGATTGCTCTTTCCACTGTCGGTGGAAGGAAAGTCATAAACACTATCCTGAGGAATTCGCATGAGCTTCACGCGAGCCTTATGGATTACCTCTTTCCAAGTCGTCTCGCGGATGCCCTCTTCGTCGTGCGGTCGTATATGCCCAGCGAAAAGCATATACATTGACAATGTGAATGTCGGACCAATCTGCACCGCGTTGGAGGTAGACATTGAATATTGCGAGTCCCCAGCTGTGAGGAACGTGCTGGCTTGCAGTAATCTAGACGGAGACACAGTTGCTGGCAGGGAGTTTGACAGATTTGCCCCTGAGGTGGTGATGGCAAGGTTAATGAGAGGCACTGCATCTTCAATGCGTTCAAGAAGCTTCTTGATATCTGAGATGATGAGCTTGAGCTCTAGCTCGTTCTGTTGCTTCGATTTTGCGCGGGAGCTACCCCGACGCATGAGTTCTTCTTCGCCAGCCGCCTTGGCTAGTCGCACGCCGAGTGATTGGATTTCCCAGCGTATGTCTTTTGTAAGGGTGACAGCTGATTCCAGTGAAGTATTTCCACGTGCAGATATAAGCTCAATCATATCAATAGCGGGTGATATGATCTATGGTATGTTAGACTGAGTTTTTGTGATTTGGGTGTGACATACTCTGATTTTGCCGTCCAGACGAAGTTGCAGTTTTGCCAGCTCTTGCTTATCTGTGCTGTTGTCGACTGACTGAGAAACTTAGCATAAGCTGGTTATTCTTCATGGTATGCACACCTTTAGCAGTCGGGAGCATTGCTTAATAGCGTAACCGCCGGTGATTGTTACGCCTGAACGGATGGCATAGTTCATAGCCTGCTGCGTGACCTGTGCCGGTGTTAGTATGAAGACGCAAGCAAGGGAGGTATATGGTTTGTCTCAGACCTTTGCTAACAGGATATCCATGGTGAGCAGCTCTACTCGGTAAGGGGACGATTAACGTGAAGATGTGGGTATCAAACGAAAAAAGGCAAGTGAAGAAGATGGGACAGTATGGTAGAATCCGGGGTCAGGGTCGCATGTCTTTCCCGGTCCAGAGCGAGCTGCTTCAAGGATGTTCCAGCTTGTCCAGGCTTGTTTGTGTCGTCACTTGGTGCCTGACAGTGGGCGGTGTTTGGAACGGCCCGGGCGGGTTAGGCGGCGGCATGAGTCAGATAATTATTACCGCCCGAAACCCCACCGCGGGCACCCAAAGATCTCTGTGCCTTGCCAGCCCTTCCGCCCGCTCAAAAGTCGTTCTGACGCCGCCCTCAGCCTACGTCGTCACTCTCCTTCTCGCACCGGCTATATAGTCCGCTGCTCTCCTCGGGCCAGCTTCACCAAGAAGCATCCACCTCTCTCTTACCGCCACTCTCCTCCATCGCGCCACACAGCAACGCCAAAATGGCCGACCTCAACTCTTGGGAGGACGACAAGGATGCGCAGGACGACCTCGCCCAGCAGGCCGCCCAGATGAACCTCAACAACGCTGCCCGCGCTAACACTTTCCAGCCCGGTGCTGCCTCTTTCACTCCGGGCGCGGCTTCGTTCGTCCCCGGCCAGGGCTTCCAGGGCGGTTACGGCGGATACCAGCAATACGGCCAGTACGGTTACGGCGGCGGCTACCTCCAGTATGGCCAGCAGTACCCCCAGTACGGTTATGGCCAGCAGCAGCAGCAGCAGCAGCAGCAGCAGCAGGGCTACGGCTACGGCCAGCAATACGGCGGCTACCAGCAAAACTTCCAGCAGCAGCAGCAGCCTCAACAACAGCAGCGCCAGACCCCTGTCATTGCCAAGCGGGGTGATGACCTTGCTGCCAAGCCTGCAGCGCCCGCCGCCGACGCGCCCAAGCCCAAGACTCTCTCGATCGGCGGTGATGGAAGCGCAAAGGTCGAGTCCGCCGGTGGCACCAAGGTGCTGAGCATTGGTGGTGACGCCCCCAAGGTCGAGAAGACTGGCGCCACCAAGGTCCTCAGCATTGGCTCGCCCAAGGCCGGTACTGCCAACACTGCCAACGCTTCTGCAAAGGAGAATGTTGACAAGGGTGCTCCGGAGGCAGGCAAGAAGGTCACCGCGGCCAAGGCTATCGAGAAGACCGGCGAGGCTGCTGGTGCTGGTGCTGCACCCACTGGCAGGACCTCCCCCACTCCCTCCTCTGGCAGGAACAGCCCTACGACGAGGACACAGGAGAAGGCGGAAGCTCGGGCCGCGAAGCAGCAGGCCGACTTGGTCGCTCAGGAGCAGGCTGCGGATGTCGATGAGGATACCCTGGCTGAGATGTACGGCAAGGAGCACGTCAACGTCATTTTCTTGGGTCACGTCGATGCCGGCAAGTCTACTCTGGGTGGTTCCATTTTGTATGCGACCGGCATGGTCGACGAGCGTACCATGGACAAGTACAAGCGTGAGGCCAAGGAGGCGGGTCGTGAGACCTGGTACCTTTCGTGGGCTCTTGATTTGACCAAGGAGGAGCGTTCCAAGGGTAAGACCGTCGAGGTCGGTAAGGGTTTCTTCGAGACTGAGAAGCGTCGCTACACCATTCTGGACGCTCCGGGCCACAAGACGTTTGTGCCGAACATGATTGGTGGTGCTTCGCAGGCCGATGTCGGTGTTCTGGTCATCTCTTCTCGTAAGGGCGAGTACGAGACTGGTTTCGAGAAGGGTGGTCAGACGAGAGAGCACGCTGTGCTTGCCAAGACCCAGGGTGTCAACAAGCTTGTTATTGTCGTCAACAAGATGGACGATCCCACCGTCGAGTGGAGCGAGGAGCGTTACAAGGAGTGCACTAGCAAGCTGACGACGTTCCTGAAGGGTGTTGGTTACAACCCCAAGACTGGTATGTGATTGTGTGATTGCGGTACATGCGATAAACTAACATTTTCAGACCTGACTTTCATGCCCGTTTCTGCTCAAACCACCGTTGGTATCAAGGACAGAGTGCCCAAGGATATTGCGCCTTGGTTCGATGGCCCCTCGCTGCTCGAGTACCTCGACGGTATGCAGACCCTGGAGCGCAAGCTCAACGCTCCCTTCATGATGCCTATTGCGGCCAAGTACCGTGATCTGGGTACCATGGTCGAGGGTAAGATTGAATCTGGTGTGATCAAGAAGGGTGCTACCTACATTATGATGCCCAACCGCGAGCAAGTCGGCATTTCGGCGCTGTACGGCGAGCAGGAAGACGAGATCCAAGCCGCGACGTGCGGTGACCAAGTGCGCATCCGTCTGCGTGGTGTCGAAGAGGAAGACATTCTTCCCGGTTTCGTGCTCTGCTCTCCCAAGCGTCCCGTCCACTGCGTGTCGACGTTTGAGGCTCAGATTGTGCTGCTGGAGCTGCGGTCGATTCTGTCAGCCGGCTTCAACTGCGTGCTGCACGTGCACTCTGCGACGGAAGAGGTCACGTTCGACGCGCTGCTGCACAAGCTGGAAAAGGGCACTGGGCGCAAGAGCAAGCGGCCGCCTGGATTCGCGACCAAGGGCATGAGCATTATTGCCAGGCTGAAGGTTACGGGTGGTGCGGGCAGCGTCTGTGTTGAGCGCTTCGAGGATTACCCCCAGATGGGACGTTTCACGCTGAGAGACCAGGTAAGACCCAGAAATAACGCTCCTGAAATAACGCATGCTAATACTCTCGTGACAGGGCCAAACTATTGCTATTGGCAAGATCACGAAGCTGATCACGGACCCGTCTGCTTAAATGGGGAGGCATAGCTGAGGCGTTTTCATCATGTCTAGGACGAACTTGACGCTGCTTTCTTTTTGCATTCATTCCGGTTGCTGGCCGGCTTGGCTGATGAATGAGTTATGAGGGCGGGATGGGGGTAGGGTTCGTGTAGCTGGGTGGATAGGTAGGATACACTGGGCGGGCAACGGCCTGTAGTTGAAGCCAGTTATGCGTAGATGAGGGGAATGAAAAGTTTGGCTTGTTTGATGTATGGTTATATTGGTTGTGTTGGTGCGGTGCTGCGTGATTGGAAACGGGACGAGACGAAAGCGTGCGTGCGTGCCTAGTGCGTCCGTACGAAACAATCTTTAACAAGCCGAAGGCCGACAGACATCATCCTCCAGCACAACCAACAACGGCATAGAGTCATGACTGAGCATCCCCTCGTCCGCCTCGGCCCGCGCTAACCTTGCCCCGGTCTAGTCAGATAACGGGCCCGCGATCGGCGAACCCGGACGACTCATCTTTCGCCCTCTTCCGCCAAGCAGCCAAGTACGGGCGGGCATCCGATCTCCGGCGCCACTGGGCATGTAGGTACAAATAGCTAAGGACGGATTACGCTGGTGTTCTTCTAATCCGATCGTGTTTGCTCTGCCTACTTCTCCTTATCTTGCCGTGGTTTTTCCCTTTCGTTGCTCCCAGTCTCTTGCGTCGTCGACAAGTAGGGCGCCGTGTCCTTATCTCGCAGTGTTTGTCGCTGAAAGAGTCACGGCTTTTCCTCACACTACCTATCTCGTCCCGTCCGTCTCCGTCTCTGTCTGCTCCCTGCACACGTCGTCTCGTTTCGTCAAAGCGCTTGACGCCAGAAGAAGCAAGCAATGAGCGCGCAGTCTCACTCCCCGCGTCCCTCGCCCTCGCTCCCTCTGTCCGCTCGACCAGACTTGGGCCGCACGGAGAGCAGTGCGAGTAGTAGTCGGCGGCGCGGCGGGGGCGCGGGTGCTGCTACTATGACGGTGGATGCGGATGCGGTGGCTGATACGCCGGCTGGTGTTGCGCCTGCGACGGTGGGTGCGCTGGGTGTGGGAGAGGGTGGTGGTGAGGAAGTGGGGGAGAAGGTGGAGGTGGAGGGGAAGAGGAGGATGGGGAAGAGGGAGGTCGAGTTGACCAAGTATGATGTTGGGTGGAGGAGGGTGGTGCGGAATTTCAGCCCTTCGTGAGTACACACACCTACACCTTGGGGAGAGTTGTTTTGCTGTTTTTGGGATGTGTTTGGTGGTTTGTTGGCACGGAATTGGAATGAGAGGGAAGAATCAAGAAGAAAGAGCAAGGATCAAACCCAACCACAGCAAAACAGTTCTAACACCCCTCACAGCTGGTTCTCCGTAACAATGGGCACGGGCATCGTGTCGATCCTCTTCAAAATCATGCCCTACAACGGTGCCTGGCTGTACTACCTCTCGCTGATCTTCTTCTGCCTCAACATCCTGCTGTTTGGACTCGCGCTCCTGACCTCTGTTCTTCGCTACACGCTCTACCCCGAGATCTGGGGCGTCATGATCCGCGATCCTAATAACTCGCTTTTTCTGGGCACGCTGCCAATGGGTTTTGCTACCATTGTTGAGATGTGGGTGTTTGTGTGCGTCCCGGTTTGGGGCGATTGGGCCCGCACCGTCGCCTGGGTGCTGTGGATGGTGGATACGGTTGTGGCGGCGGCGGTGACGTTGAGTTTGTCTGCTTTGCTGTGCGTGTCTTCCCTTCCTTCCCTCATTCCCCTCCTCATCCTTCTCTGCATCTGTTTATTCTCTCTCCTTTTTCGTTCTTAGAGCTTTCAGCACCAGCTAACACCCCCCAGCATGCAACAGTCCCACGCCCTCAAATCCCTCTCCCGCTTCACCGCCGCGCAGCTCCTCCCCATAGCAGCCACGATCGTAGCAGCAGGCACGGGCGCCGAGGTCGCCGAGGTACTGAAGGATTCGCAGCACGCGCTGGGCACGCTGCTGACCTGCTACGTGCTCTGGGGCATGGGTACGCCGCTCGCTATGGCTGTGTTGGTTATGTACTACCAGCGGCTGGCTGTGCATAAGATGCCGCCGAGGGAGGTCATCGTTAGCTGTTTTTTGCCGTTGGGTCCGCTCGGGTTTGGCGGGTATAGGTGCGTAAGGCTTTTCGTTGGCGTTTTGCTGCCTTTTACGCACTTTTCTTGAATTGTTCTTTCTTTCTATATTTCTATCCTCCTTCCCTCCTCTCTTCTTTCCTATCATCTCCTTCTTCTTCTCCTTCTTCTTCTTCTTCTTCTCCTCCACTTCTCCCCTCAACACTCACTCATACCCACTCCACAGCATAATGTACCTAGGCAAAGTGGCGCGCACCATCCTCCCACAAACCAACACGCTCGACCCCGCCGCCGGGCCCATCCTCTACGTCCTCGGCTGCTTCCTAGCCCTCATCATGTGGGGTTTCGGCCTGGTATGGTTCTTCATCGCGCTGGTCAGCATCTGGCGCGCCCGCCCTTTCCCCTTCAACATGGGCTGGTGGGGGTTTACGTTTCCACTTGGCGTGTTCGCTGCTAGCACGATTCAGCTGGGCGAGGAGCTGGACACGAAGGTCTTTCGTGTTTTGGGCATGGTGAGGCCGGCTGTTTTCCCTTTTTCTTCTTCTTGTTCTTCTTCTTCCTCTTCTTCTCCTTCTTCTTTTCCTGCTCCTGTGTTTGGCTGACGTCGTGTGCGTGCCCAGATCTTTAGTGTCGCCGTTATCCTGCTTTGGGTCGTGGTTGCGTGTGGGACGGCTAGGGGCGCGTGGTCTGGTCGTCTGTTCTTTGCGCCGTGTTTGGCGAATTTGAAGAGGGAGGCTGAGGAGAGCGCGGCAGAGGAGGATGCGGAGAAACAGACGTGAAGGGGTTCTTAATGTTGTATGGTTGTTGTAAATGGGTGTATATCTATGTGGTTTGATGTTTACTTTGTATTTTTTAAGGCAGTACTAACGTCCTTCGCCGTGGAGTGCGATTCACTGTGTGGTGAAGTAGTGAAGGGTGTAAGCAATTCCTATAGAGTACTTCTTGTCTAGTTACCTGTCCGAATCCTATATATTATCGGATTATTTATTTAGTACCCTAATAATATACTTTTACAGTTATACGACTTGGTCTTTATACTTATAGATTTGAACTATTGCATGTGTATACCTTTTTATCTTTTAATTTCTTATAGTCGTATACATCTCTATACCGTGTCTTTTTCGTTGTCATTTATTATAGCTACTCAAAGAGTACTCAGTGTCTACAAAAGAACATTTCCAACATATATCTACTAATAAACTAAGCAAGTGTCTCCCACACATGCCCGACCCGGCGCACCCGAGCCACCCCGACCTCGCCGCAGCGTCGTCATGCGGACCCACCAACCACGCGCGCCAGTCGGGACCACCCCTAACTTCCATCATCTCCACACTCCACACCCGATCTCCCTCCAGCTACCGCACTCGACCCAAGTCGCCTCGTCGCACTCTACGCTACCTCGTCGCTGCGCCGTATACGATCGATCGCCCTTTGTCAATTCCTCTCCATCGCATCTGCTGCTGTTACAGTCGTCCATCGCCACAATGTCCGAGGCTTATGAGCGCGAGCGGTACGTCATTTGAGAGAGGTGTTTGTCTGCTGGGTTTGGAGGGCGTTGTGCTGCGATGCTGCTGTTGCTCTTGTTGCTGCTGTCGCTGCTACTACCGTCGTCGTCTCCCGTGGCGACATCCTGGCTTGCGCTGCCTTGTCCAGCCCGGTCGACCATGACAGGCAGCCTCACTCTCGCGCGCGAACCGGGCGTTGCGCCTACGCATACACGTACACATACACACAAAACACAGCACGGGCAACCAGCAGCATAACGTAGCGCATAGTAGCACAGCAACAGCAACAGCACCCACAGCACAACCACCACAACCACAAGAACTCCGCTAACACACACACACCAGCCAAAACAACTCGCGGCTCGACGAGCTCGCCAGCAAAGTCTCGGCCCTGCGCGGCGTCACAATCGACATCTACGACAACGCGCGCGACCAGCACGTCATTGACAACTCTGTACATTTCCCCCATTCCCCTCAAACCCCCACTCCACTCCACAAGCTCAGACTCAAAAACTAACCCCACACCACACACAGAACGAAGTCTTCTCCACATTCGCAACCTCGCTCAAAGGTTCCGCCGGCCGCCTAACCCGCATGGCCCAAGCAGGCAACAAGGTCGCGGTGCTCAAGCTTGCGGGAATACTCGTCGTTATCGTCGTCTTGCTGTATTGGATTGGGGGGTGGGTGTTTGGGGGGAGTGGGAAGGCTTAGGGGTGTGGGTGGGAATGGTGGGTGAGGGGAGGAGGATGGAGAACTTGGGAGGCTGTAATCTGAGGAGGAAAGGACCAAAGACCGAAAAAAGACAGGACCTGGCATGGCATGCATGGCATGGCGAGGGAAAGAAAATATATCACACACACAGCACAACAGCACAGTCCGCGGGCGGGCTTAATTACTCCTTTCTACTTCTATGCATGGATGGATGGGAAAAGAGCGAGCGAGAAACAGACGGAAACCCAGACAAAGAAACATACATACAGCAGGCGACAGTGTCTGAAATAACATACACACAGAGAGAGAGAGCGCCAACAAGTTCGTGTGTACAGAGAGGGGAGAAAGAGTGAAGAGAGAGTACAATGCGTGTGTTCCCATTCCACAATGCTATCATTTCCCGTGCATGCAAGCCGTGGCTGATTAGGGACGAAAATACATACTCATGGAGATAGTAGTAGGTACCTAGAATCTCTATGTAAGAAACTCATTGCGGCTTTGACAAAAGCACATACATGCACATGCACAAGCATGCTGTCCTCACAAATGTCCGCTTCCTATGTCTGCATGTTATCATTCTCATTCTCATTGCTACTTATCTGTAGTTGTAGTTGGAGTGTTATATATATTCTCGATTCTCATTTTCATCGCACGGCACGCACGCACGCATACGCGCACATGCAATCATGCATGCATTTTCCCCCTCCCCCTCTCACCCACTCCCTCCTCATCATTCGTACAACCCCTCTGCCATCTATCCACCTACCCTACCCACCAATCCACTCCTACACCCACACTACCCCCACACATTCCCAAACAAATCGTCATTCCCCCCACCACCACCCATGCTGCCCACAGGCTTCGGCGTCGCCCCCGTCGCCCCCGCCGACGCAGATGGCGCACTACTCCACCCGCCAAAGTCGTCGTCGAGCGGACTCGACACCGCTGCCGGGGCAGGCGCAGGCGCAGGTGCAGCAGGTGCAGGTGCCGGAGGTGGAGCAGACTCCCACGCGTCGTTCGAGCCCCAAGCATCCATGTTGGACATGCCGGCCGAGTAGTTCACGCTCGGAGCTGCTGGCTTCGGGGGTGCGGGGTTGGAGAGGTTGAACGCGGAGCTCATGCCTGCGAGAGAGTTGGAGGTTGCAGCGGGCTTCGGGGGTGCCGAGGCGGACGGGGTCGAGTCGAATGAGAGATCGAAGAGGTCGCCTGAGGATGCGGCAGGCTTGGGGGGTGCGGACGCAGCAGGAGAGGCTGCGGAGCTCCAGTCGCCAAAACCACTGCTGCTGCTGAAAGTGCGTTGGGCAGCTGGGGGTGCGGGCTGCTTCGAGGGCAGCGCGTCGAAGAAACCACCGCCACTGCCAAATCCACCTGACCGTGACGACGACGCCGTGTGCGCGGGAGTCGAACGCTGGCTCATTGACGGGCTGGCGAGGCTGGCAAAAGCGTCCTGCTTCGGAGGAGGCGCAGTCGCACTGGTAGGAGTCGAGCCGAAGCTCAAGCTGCTGAAGGCGTCGTTTAGCCCACCGAAACCCTGCGCAGTCGGCGACTGGAAGCCCGACGCCAGACCGCCAAACGACCCAGAGCCTGTATGTTGATGCCTGACAGGCTGCGCCGCGGCGGCGGGCTTGGCGGCGTAGAGCGAGAGAATGGACTGCTTCAGGTCCGGACGCGACGGCCCGGCCGAGGTGGAGGTGCCAGCCGCGACGCTTGCGGGCCGCGAAGGGGGTGTCGAGGCTGGTGAGCCGAAAAAGTCCAAACCCAGCAGCGAGTCGCCTGGCTTGCTCTGTTTCGGCGCGGCGGGCTCCGTCCTCGGGGGAGGGGCCTTGTTGACCGGTGGGCCGGTGCTCGGTCGCGAGGGCGGTGCTGGCGCGGGCGCGGGCGCAGGGTCGTCTCCGAAAATGTCCATCGTTGGCTGCGGTGGAGGCTTCTTGACTGGCGGGGGAGTGGCCCGGCTGGCTGAGGCGGCGCTGCCAGAGCGTAGAGACGCGGACCGCTCCAACTGAGCCTTCTCCTTGACGACGTTCAGAGGCTACATTTGCTGTCAGCGCGTGTCCCAGAGCTACGGACATGCAACAATACCACGTCATCGTCCCCCTCAGCATCCAGTGTTGCGGGATCCGGCATGGGCCCGTCCATGACCCACCGCTTCGAGTCGTATTTTGTCCGAATGAAGTTTTCAATCTTCCTATTCGCCGTTAGTTGTGTCGTGCGCAGTGGTGTTGGAGCTTACGATTCGGAGGGTATGTGGCCAGGCGCAAGTTTGGCCTCCCAGTACCTATGAGCGGTCAGTAGAGTTCGACGTAGGATATTATGTTACTGACTTGTTTGCCCTGGAGTTGCCCCACCGCAGCATGCTCTGCAACTGTTCGTCCGTCCACGAGTCGAGATCAACCGACTTGACCCTGCTTATGTGCGTGCCCATGCCTCTGTGGATGCCGGAACAGCTGGTGTCGCGTTAGAAAGGCATTGTGCGCGGTGTCAGGGACGGGCGTACCGAATGCAGATGAAGATTCCGAGATTCCAACTGGCCCATCGTGGATCTGTAGGTGGTTAGCTAGGGTTGGAATGTGGGAAGTGGGAGGCCTACGCTTGTTCCGCTTGCAGTCTGCACAGCTCTTGTTGCTTTCGAGCTTGACGAGGCTCTTCAGCGTCTGCTGGTTCTGTGCGATGCGCTCAGCGCGTGGATCAAGCCTCCGGGACATGGCTGGTGAAGGGTGCTTGGGAGAAAGCGGTGACAGGAGAGGTGGATATCAATGGCAGACGTAACTAGTTAACAACCGAATCCATGTCGCGGCCTCGGCGGGCCCCACGGCATCGATGCCCGAAAGGCGGTCAAATCTCAAAGCACGTGATCTTCATTGATGATCCAACTGAGACAGCTCACGCCTCCCCACTGTCACTCCGAGTCGCAAGTTGTCTCGCTGCTCGCATCCCGTCAGCCATCCTCCAATCTAATCCGTAAAGGTGTGCGCACCCAAGTTTTGATTGTAGTGAGAAGCCAGCGTCGCCTCTTTGCTACTAGTATTTTTCTCGCTGCTAAGAAGCATGTCATGACCCTTTCCCGCCGCAAACGCCGTGCTTGTCAGTCGCAAATGCATATGATTCCATACCTCGGCGTATGACCTTTCACCACCGTCCGTATCCGCCGCGTCCCCCTCTGAACCCTCCGCGGCCGCCTCCTCTGTAGCCTCCCCTACCATATCCGCTCCTGTCGTTGTAGTCGTCGAAACTACCGCGCGAGCCTCCTCTCGGCGCGTCGTCCAAATCGTGCGATCTTGCTGGTGGCGGCTTGCCCTTGAGGTCTTTTTGTAGCTGTTCGTATGTCTTGCGCATCTGAGCGTAGCCCAAGTGCATCTTGCCGTAAAAGTGATCCGCCAACCGCCGGTCATTGTCCAGTCTGCTGAGGTACGCGCCGCACACATCGCACACTTGGAGTTTCTGGTGGCCTGACGGGCCCGACGTGTCGGACAACGCCTTGAGCTCGCGCTCGCGGTCTTCCTTTGTCTGCTTGGCTTGTTTAACCTTGAACACCTCCGTCACGGCCTGGTTGACGCTGCCTTCTTCACCGAGTATCTGAATCTCGAGCAAGCCGTTTTCAATCGTCTTGGAAAGGTCGCGGATTTGTTGGAGCAGGATGTTGGTCTGCCTGATCTCGTCGGGCGTTTTTTCCAGGCGGCGTTGGGCGCTATCGATCCTCCGGTTGCACTCGTCGACGTACTTTTGCATGTCGCGCAGGTAGTCGTATTCGAAACCCCATCGGCGGCGTTGGTCGGTGTCGGCGGCCTCGAACTCGTTCTTCAACGGCTCGCTGTGAACCTTGGGACAGGGACCAAAGTCTTGCTTGGTGTTGGTGAAGAGGTCATGCGGGCAGGTGCCGACAAGATACGAGCGGCACACCTTGGGGTCGGTGATTGAGAGCTGGGGTGCGCGGGTGCCGGGGCCGGACATGAGCTGTTCGCCCATGAGCTGCTCTACGGTAGGTTAGTATGGACGCAGAATGTAGCTGGCAATATTTACCCAGCAGCTTCCTCTGTTCGGCCGCCATTGCGCCTGTGTGTTGGGGTGACGCGCGTGGAGTGTCGAGTTATTGCGCGGTACGAGAGTTGCGATGCGACTTTCCTCTCGGCGGCGATCTTCGCGTTGGCCGGGGTCCGGGGAGCTTCGACATCATCCATGCGCGCCGCATCATCTGGCTGAAAGGCGCCATGTTTTTTTTCGTCCTGCTGCTTCTCCTTTGCGGCTTGTCGCGCGCCGTTGAATCGGATTATCATGAGCGACTACTCTTGCGTCCGCTTCCTCAGAATGCCCTCCTAGCTTCCTTCAACTTCCGCAGCAACGCCTCTGCTTCGTCCTTTGACCACCAGAACTTCAGGTACTTTCCGCGATCGCTCGGTCAGATTCTTCAGCACGCCCATACGACCGAGTTGCATCTCCGTTTCAGCCTGGGACGATGGGACGCCGAAGCATGGGGAGCGAGGCCATGGAACGGGGCAAGAGAGGGCGGGACTGGTGTCGAGCTATGGGCGTGGGTCGACGCGCCGACAGATGAGGAGTCAGTACAGCGGATGTTAAGTGTATTATTACTGACGAATGCAGAGCCAATGCCCGCTGGTTGACTCTTGCGAACGCGTTGTCTGGTCTGTTCTGCGCCTCGTTGAACTTCATTGATGCTACGAAGACGATCAGACCTGTCATGACCTTTCCCCCGGAGAGATATCCCGCGAATGCTACCAGCTCCAATCTCCACTTGCTACACGGTACATTACCACACGAAGTCGTCTGTACTGAGAATTTGACGCCATTTCTCAAGTTGCTGCCGTGCAAAGGGAAATCTGGTATCTCGAGTCTACTGGACGGCCACAAGCTTTTTGACGCGTCGTGGCAGACCATGTCCATTGATGTGAAGCCGGTTTGCTCGGACAATGGCTCCGATTGCGTCCTGGAAATGGAGCAGACGGTAGATATGGTTCTTGACATTGACAGGTCTAAGCGGCCACGGGACAATCCAATCCCTAGACCTGCACCCATCGAGGAGATTGAATGTGACACCTCCAAGTCATATCACGCCGGAGACTCGTGTTACCCTCTGTACAAATCCTCTGATCCTTCCTGGAGTCTGGAGGAGATTTTTGGTCGTCCCATCAAAGGAGCCTGCCCATTGACAGGTGATGGAGAAGCCTCGGAAACCGTCTGTCTGAATGTACCTACTGAGCGGGAGGTCCAAGTCAAGACGGAGAACAAATATGATGAGAGCAAATACGACGACGGGCAGTTGAGATGTTACAAACTTCCGAGTATGTCTGCTTAACCTTATTATCTATCCCCTTATTCATCTATCCTCTAACCCATCCAGCCAACGCGGACTTTGACCTTGTTCTCCCTGAGCAAACCATCACGAACCCGATTTCCCTACCCCAACCACCCCTCTACGCCGCACGCACGATAACCGGTCACGGCCAAGAGCGCGGCGGAATTCAAGCCGTACTGACCAACCCGTCCGACTCCCCCGCCCCCCTCATCTACCTCGAGACACTCCCCTGGTTCATGAAAACCTACGTGCACACATTACGCGCATCCATCACGACCAACGGCAGCAAAACAGACTGCCCATCCTGCATCCACGAGATCTACTACCGCCCCGCCGTCGACCGCACCCGCGGCACGCACCTCGAACTCCGCCTCTCCGTGCCCCCCGCCGCGCGCCTGACGCTGAACTACGATTTCGAAAAGGCGATTCTGCGCTACACGGAGTACCCACCCGACGCGAACCGGGGGTTTGACGTCGCGCCCGCGGTGATCAGGCTGCTAGACCGCGAGGACGGCGCGAGTGAGGCGGGCGTTAAAGGCGTTTATCTCCGCACTACGAGCTTGTTGCTGCCGCTCCCCACGCCCGATTTTAGCATGCCGTATAACGTGATTATCCTCACGAGCACGGTTATGGCTCTGGGCTTTGGCAGCATTTTTAATATTTTGGTCAGGAGGTTTGTTGGGGCTAATGAGGTCGAGGGCTGGAAGGGAGGTGCGTTGAAGGCTGTTTTGGCGGCTAAGGTGCAGAGGTTGAGGGCGAGGTTTGCGGCGAAGGGGAAGGCTGAGTGATGTGAATGCTGTAAGTTGGAGCTGATTAAATCCGCGCGGTTAAAGAGTGTTTATCGCTATATTTGACAGTTTTAGCCGTTTAGTCAAGTTTACCGTTGTTAAATGAAGAAAGATATAAAATTGAAGCTACAACACGGTCTAGCAGCTCACTGCAACGGACTAGACAAATTCCTTTTTTGGAACCAACCAAGTCTCTGCACATACTTTTGAAAGAGAATTACCTACCCTGCAACCACTCCACACTCCCAGCCTTCCCATAAATACGCCTCATTCCATCAATCTCGGACAAGGATTCCCAGCACCCCGGCACAAAAAGCTCACGCAGAGTACGGATCTCGGCTCACGTAGCCGTCCTCAAGCAGCATTCCGACAAAATGCCCAAAAGCATATCAACAAAGCGGCGTATTCATTGACAGCGAAACGAACAAACAACCTCGCTGCATGCGGCGGTGCGATTCATGCACCAACGGGCTTGGCGACAGTGATGACTCGGCAGAGCTCTCTCTATCTTCCGCAACCGCAACAAAGCACCGCTCTGTCCTCCTCTTCTCGGTCCCATTCTCCCTCCATCCGCGCCTGTCAGTCACTCCGTTCAAAACCTCACATACCGTCACTTCCACGGCACCGAACGCACGTCTCTACTCTACCAAAAACGCCGTACACGACCAGCAGCTCCAAACAACCCTTCGCGCGCGCTCCCACCGCCCAGCCATGGCCACCGTAAAGATGGAGCTGGACGACACGCCCGCAATCAAAGCGGAGCCAGGGCTCGGGTCGCCGGGCGGCTACGTCGACGTCGACGACGACGTCTTCGAGGACACGGGCGAGCTGAGCATCCCCGCCGATTTTGGCGCGCAGAACGTGTGGTTGTCGCGCGTGCCGATTTGGCTGTGGGAGGCGCTGGTGAGCGCGGAGGATGACGAGGAGCTCGAGATTGGGAAGCTGATGCGGTGGGAGGAGGGCGGGGAGCAGAAGGTCGGGTTGGCTTTGCGATTCGTCTTTGCGAGTATAGAGAAAGTGTGCTCACGTACTGCAGTCGAAACTCATATTAAGGCATGACCTGCCGAGGTTCATGGATGTCCCGAAGGAATACCAGGTCAACGCCGTTAATGATAATCCCATTAATACGTTTATATTTTCTGAGAAGGACTTGGAGGGCTATAACCCGAATGCGTATAAGCGGCCCGGCCAGCAGCGACCAGGACCCTACAACGACCGGATCCGCGACGGACGCATCGAAAGGTTCCGACGAGGCAAAAAGCCGATCCCCAAAAACACCGCACTGGCCGCACGGTCAGCGCTAGACATCTCGTGCGTGCCGGTCGAAAACGAAGAGCTATTCGCGTTCCGGGCACGCGAAACCGCAAAGACGCAAAAAATGAGCAAACGGCTCGTGCTCGAGCAAGACCTCCGCAAATTCACCAAACTCATCGGCGGCATCACGTCCAGCACGAACGTGATCAAGACCTCCATAGGCACCAAGCCCAAGGCCAAGGCGCAGGAGAATAAGTACGCCCGCATCCCGCAGAACGAACTTCTGGATATGCTGCTCCAGCACTTTAAGGAGTACCGGTACTGGCCCATCAAGTCGCTTAAGGAGAAGACGCAGCAGCCCGAGTCGTATTTGCGGGAGACGCTGGCCAAGATCGCGACGCTTGTTCGGACGGGCCAGTACGCCAATACTTGGATGCTGAATCCGGAGGCCGAGGTCGCGAATTACGCTGATGTGGAGATGGCCGCTGTCAAGGAGATGGCGCCGGAGCCGGAGTTTGCAGAGGACGAAGAGGACGAGGACGAGGGCGACGACGAGATGGTCGATGTGGTTTGAGGCGGCTAGGGGCTGTTGATACCGAGTCTGTGTCTGCCTGCCTGCCTGCCTGTCGGAGTGCAAAGCGTCGTGGCGCGGCGTTGCAGGCCGGAAACGCCTGGTACTTTGACGACGATGACGACAACACAACCCTGTCCGCAAGCAGGACTCGCCCCATCATCCAGCACCACAAGCGAAGAAGGAACAACCTCACTCTCAACGCGCACCAAGGGTTCGCCGCATCCCAAACCACAGTCCAACTCAGCTCAGCTGCCGCAAACGAACAACCAGACAAAGAGACCAAGAGACCAAAGACAAGAAAAAGAAACCCCACTTCTGACTGAGAGTGACAGGCCTTCGCCTATGCGCGCACAACAATGCGATTCCCACAAAAAGGTGGAGGTGGATACCTACCTAAGTCGATGGAGTCGTACCTAGTGAGTGGGGTTACGAGCACCGCACCCACCCAAACGGCGCGCCGGGCCGAGCCGAGCCGGATCCAGAGGCCAGGGCCCACCAGGCACCAGGAACCAGGCACCAGGCACCAGGGACGCCGCGGCTCAGCCTCGCCGTGCTCGTTGCTCATATGAGCTCGTGCTCGTGCGTCTTGTGGCTGTTATCGTTGTGGCTGCAGCAGAATCCATCCCAGGAACTGCTAGTTAGCCGAGCCCATACATACTCTACATGTAGGGCAAGCCAAGACCCTTGAATATCCCGATATCCCAGGAAGCGCCAGCTGCGATCGATGTCCTAATTATACTATGTTTTGGATATGTATACATATTACAATAAATCTCATTACTAAAACAGCACTTCAACAAGCAAAGCACAGTTCTACTCCCTGACATCCCTCCGCTTAGTAACAAATTCACTCGCACCCGTCTCGCTCCTCTGCAGCCGCACCTCTGAACTCATGGCCCAGCGATTGAGCTCGTGCAGTTTGCCGCTGCCCCACGAGCTCGTGACGCCCTCGCGCGCATACGGCGTCATGGGCGTGCCGGGACTAAAGCCTCCACTAGCTGCCGCGCTCTGCGCGCCGTGCTGGTCCTCGTCCACAATGCGGCAGTGCAGCAAGGGCAGCGTGCTGCTCTTCCACACGGCCACGCCGCTCGTCTTGCTCCGCACGATCGTGCCGACCAGGAAGAGCAGCGCTAGCACCTCCACGGCTATGGGCAGCGTGATCCACTCCCATCGCACGTGCACATACGTCTCCGTGATGCTGCTGCCGCCCGCTGCTGCGGTCTGGTTGTATTCCAGGCCCTTGCCCGTGCGCAGAAGCTTCGTGATGCTGTCCGCAATGGCCTCCATGGTCGTGTTGTCGCCCTTTGTAGGCGTCCCGTCACCGAATTTTGAGGTTCCCATGTCGTACAGCGCGCGCACCGTGTCGCTGGTTCCAGACTCCCTGCCAGTGGCGCCCTGGACGCTCCCCCTGAAAATGTTGTCGAAGAAGAACTGCAACCCCTGGATCGAGTACGTGGCCAGTGTGTAATTTGTCTCGTCGTTGGCAACGTGCAACGTGATGCCGTTACTAGAGAAGCCGCCGTCGGTTAATTCCCCATGCGTGGGCTCTACGGTCGCAATTTTGTGCTCGGAGAAGTTACCACCGACGACTGATGCTCGGTATGTATTAACACAGCTGGTGAACATGTTAGTTGGGGGCTTGGTTTCCCAAATGGAGCTTGAAAGCGGGTGGGGCAAACTCGACTCACGGATAGAGGATGCACTCGTTAGCGACGGCGCCAAGGAGACTCTGAGCAGAAAGGTCGTGCAATCCACGGATCGTCTGTACGGACGCAATTATGCCGGAGGTGCCGTTGAAATGCACGCTCGAGGGCTCGCCATAGGCATTCGATTCCATGAATGCATTGCCGCCGATGAACTGGCCGCCCAGCGTCAGGCCGCTGGGCAACGTATAGTTGCATCTATCAGGGATTAAGCTTCCGGAGCAGTTGGACTTAAGACTCTCCGTGATGTTGGCGCATTTCGTGCACATCGCCAGAGACGAGTACGGCGCCTCCCACGTGCAGTTACCCGTCGAGCAGAATGGCGTCACCGCAAAGTCACTGCCTCCGTTACCGGTCATGTCACTTCCGTAGAGGCCTGAGTAGACGGCGGCTTTTATGGCCAGCGTCGGGTCCTTCGCTGCGGTGGTTTGTGAGCAAATGAATGCGGCCAGTTAACTTTGGGGAAAATCATACTCCCCATTATCCCGCCGGGAGCGTAGCCATCGTAGCCGGTGGCCACGGGAATCGTCGCGTTGTGGATGGCGCCGGGGACGGTGCGGCTGGGGTAAGTGACGATCTGTTGAACAAAAGGATCGATAGCCAACACGATAACCGACAGGAGCGCGCCGAGTTTGGCGAGATGACTGGTCAAAGCATTGTCAGCACTTGCGTCCCACCAAGGCCAAAGCTTCACAATGCTTACACGCCCCGCGTAGAGAGCAGCAATTTCATGCTACCAAACAGGCCTCGGCTAGCCTCGTCGAATGTCTGAATGTCTTGCAGAATGCCCGCCTTCTTGAACCATAGCCACTTCAATTGGGAAATGCCCTCGGCCACAGGTACTACCAGACACGCTTTCATGATGGTAGCGAGAATGGATACGAACGAGTTGAGCGTGATGGACATGGGCCAGCGCGGCAATGGCTTGTTGTCGCAAGTTGCAAGCAAAGCCACAATCGCAGCGAGAGCAAACGCGCTGAGGACCCACGCCGTGAGTTCAATCAACCACCAGTTCGTAAGAAAGTCCTGAATCTTGTCCCCAGTGCTCTTCTCCTCTTCCTCAACGGGTCGGAACTCTTCCAGCCGCGCCATATCTATGGGCGCAGGCTTGTGGCCTTCGTAGCGTTTGATTTCCGGGGAAGACATGTCGCCGAGCTCAAGGTAAGGCGAGTCGCCAGGAATTGGTGACGGATGAGCGGATGCGCTGGGCGACTGTAGGACTGACGATTAGCTCTTTCGCGTGCTCTGAAGGAACGAGGTCCTTACTCTCTGGGGTACAGTGATATGCATCCTGCCGTCGTCTTGTAGGATTCCCGGTCCCTAGCGAAGGCGGCGGGGAGTGTGGGGATTTTGTTTGCGCGCGGGCGATCGTCATATCATCGACTGTGAGAGATGGTCAACCATAGAGACAATGTCCCGACACGGGCTTGCCGCACTCCAATATGCAAATACGAGGTCTCGCCGGGGCTGCCGATAGGGCGAGAGGGGGCAGTCCACCGACGCAGGGCCTCGCGCGCTGGCCAAAAGTGGCGGCGCGATCTGCGCTGCAGTCCGGGTCGGGTTCAACCAGCCCGTCGAAGCAGCGTGCCAGACTGTAAACGGGGTGGTGGTGCCGACTTTTGCGTGCTGGACACTGGCCCATGCGTCTGTCGACGGTCGATCGTTTCCCGTCTGGCTTACGCATGTCGCTGTGGATGTGCCAACAAGGGGTTGAAGCTGACCGGAGAGATCTCCAACGGCGCTAACGGTCGCTGCGTGTAGTAATCTTCGGTCGTCCCTGCCATGTCAGCTGCAGGGTCATTGAAGTGTTCCAGGTGTTTGCGGGCTGGACGGCAGGATGTCCCTAGTCTTGCCGCAGCTTGACGCCACCGGCACTTGGATGTAGAAAGGGGAAAAGCATGCAGTAAAATTAAATAAAAACAAAAAAGACATCAAACGTCAAGCGTGCAAGGGTCACTGCATTGCGAGGTCGTCGGAGTAAAGTCGCGACGCGCATCGGATAAACTGCTCGATCGCACCCGCCTCCTTCCATCCGCTTGCAACTCCCTTCCTCCTCTCTCTCAATCCCCACGGTAACTGACCACCAGCCTGCCTGATATGTACCTCCACCACACCGGCGGCCGATCCAAGACCCGCTGTTTCTAACTGTTCCTGGCACCACCGCAGCATATCACCGAGCAGAAGCAGTGTGCACCCGCAATAATCTTTGAACTAATCATCACAATCTTCCTAGGTGCAACTCACGTCAGAGAGGCACGTTTTCGCTGTCCCGCGAAGGATTCTCAAGAAAACAGGCACCCCGGTCCTGGATCTCGGCATGAGATGAAGTCTGCATGCAAGCAAGCCTCATCGGCTGCACGGCCCGGCTCGGCGAAGCGGCCAATGCCACTTACGGCCATGCTACCGGACCATGCGCCACGAGGCGTCCAGCGGGGGCGCCACGGGCACACTGCTGTTGACGGGTGACGGCACTGGTCGCGGTGGGTGGCACCACTGCATGTGCACGGCGCGCCAGGGTAGGTACAGAGCACGGGTAGGCGTGGTAGGGACCTCCTGTTGTATACACGTCCTGGTGTCTGTTCTTCCAGCCGGACTCAAGAATTTTTCTTCTGTTTACGCGTATCAGCGCACCGAACACCGTTCATCACGACAATCCGCTCGCACGACATTGGCAACGGACCAGCGGGTGGTAGACACCGGCTAGACAAACGGATCGTCATTTTCCAGTGGAGAGACGCGGTGTGCCTGACAGCTATAAGCCATCCGCTATAGGCACATAAGTCCGCCCAAATCGTCAACGACGGGCGATCGGTCGATTGGTCTCGAGACACGCAAGCAGTAATAGGGGCGGTACTTCCTGAGGTACGCTGATAGGTAGGTTGGATTAGTGTGGATGGATAAAGTGTTGCTGACGGTGGAGACTGCATAGTGGACTATCATTGTCTTTACGCTTAAATGGACGACAGCTTATGTGAGTGCGTGCCTGACTGACTGTCGCGTTATGACTCTGATTTTTGTGCACTGACGAATGCCTTTGACGTTTAGAATTTGTTGACTTGCTTGAATGTCGTAACTGGTCTTGACTGCTCATAATACCTTCGTTTTTAAGACAGCAAAAGCGTTCAGACAGTTAGGCAAGACCTAACCTGTTGTATCGAGAAACACCTTCTTCAAGGTCTGAAATTGCTGACTAGCATGACCGTTATAACCGGTCTCAACTACGCCGTGTCGCTAACCCGCCACGGTCGCGTCTCCAACCAAATACAGACATACTCTGTCCTGCATAAACACAACAATGCGCGCCATAAACCTACAGCTTCTGTACTCAACCCCACCTACCTACCTATCCACCTACATCCACACAGCGCAAATCCAGCACCCACCACTACTACCGAATGCAATCGCGGATGCAAGAGTTCCGTGTACCGCGACCAAGCTTCGCCATAGCGCCACTAGCGCTAGTGCGTGTCCAGAGGAGAGAAGAACCAGATCATTGATCTCCATCGACTAGAAAACCCGTCTGGTCTAGTCACAACCAGTGCCGCGCGTCAAGCATGCGCTGTACACACCAAGTACACACCCATCTGCGACATTTCCCTCCACGTCCCACGCCACCCAAAAAATGAGCAGAGGCCGCCACGTCGATCATCGACGATAGCTCATCATCCGCACGCACCCGACGCGCACTGGACAGTGGGTAGACCGAGTTTTCGCGCGTCACTCTAGTACGGTCGCTGGTGGTGTATCGCAGAAGAAGACTCGAGAACCTAACTTGCTTGATCAGCGGCTCACAGTGGATTGAGTACATAGGTATGGGATTGTACCATCGGTGTTGCCGACGAAGCGGGGCTGCAAAGCTCAAACCACTTGTAGACTCCCACCACTGACTATGAGCAGGTAAATCGAATTGACACACCCGGCACGGCACGGCACGACCAGTAACCGCCGGCATGACTAAGTGCTCAGAAGCCAATGATAGCTTGATTCAAAACGACGGGCGGACCTACGTGGTATACATAAGACAAGGCCGCACACATTGAGCACCAAACGAACGAGAAACCCCCAAACACCTCCTCCCACGCTACGAAAACCTCCTCTCGCCATTCCCACCTCCTCTACCCCAACTAACACCCACAACACCTCCCTTCCCCACCACCTCCTCCTCCAGCGGACTCACCACCTGCGTACTTATTGGGCTCACGACCTCCGTGTCTTCCAACTCGCAGCGGAACGCATCCGCCTCCTTCTCGGCTGGCACAGCTTGGTCAGGGAGCTCGAACTTCGCGTCTCCGCCATGGACTTCCTGCGGCGGCTCCCGGCCTCCGCTGCCGACGAGCTCGACGGGACCAGAGTCCGTGCGCGCCGTTTGTTGCGCGGCTTGCTGTTTGCGCCGCCGCCAGAAGAGCAAGCCTGCGGCTGCAAGGAGCGAGACTCCGCCTACGGCGCCTACGACGCCGCCGACTATCGCGCCGGTGTGCGTGGAACTGTCGTCGCCGTCTGACGTGTCTGAGTCGGATGGAGGCGTGTATGTCGAGCGGGGCACGGTTTGCGAAAAGATGGTTGACAAAGCAGCGTCTTTCCAACCGCTGGTGGGGGACTGTTGGGCAGCACTGCCGGTGGCGCTGAGGCTTGTTAACTCGATGAATTCAGTGGTCGGTGATGAACTTACTCTCCGCCGATGACGTCGCGCACAATGGTCGGGATCGTGTAAGTCAGGTTCGGCTGGAAGGTTGTCTGCCACTCGTACGTCGACAGATCGAGAACCTTGACCGGCGGGTGGCTGGTCGCGTTGCAGTAGTCGTTGCGGGACGTGCCGTTCGCATCGACAACACCACCCGTGACGAGCATCTGGCGGTCGTTCCAGACATTGCACTTGTGGCGATGGCGGCCGGCGAAGCGATCAGCAGTCTTATCCGGATCACCTGTCGCGTTGACCTTGATCCACTCAAACGCCGGGACGCTCAAAACGTACACATCGTTCAGCGATGCTGCGTTGCCTTGGTCCCAGCCGCCGTGGATCGTTATCTGGATACTGGAGTCGTCCGGAGCCGAGGAGACGGTTGCGCAGAACTCAGTGCGTGGGCCTGGGATGTCGCCTGTTGCCGTAATGTTGTACCACGTCTCGCCGTCGATGTCGTAGATAAAGATTTGGGACATCGATCGCTGATTCCAGTACTGTTCGCCGTTGAATTGGCCGCCGCTGGTCGTGTCGTCACCGCCAATGGCGATCAAAGTACCTTTCTTGCCTTTCCGCGTGTAGACCATTGCGCCTTTCAACGTGCTCAGTCCTTGGTCATTGGTCTGGCTGGCAGCAAAATCAAACGTCGGCTTCGCGGAGTTGTTGGTGTTGAACTTGACCATTCCTTGGTTGGACCCGTTGAAAGAGACCTCCCAGCCTCCGGTATAGAAAGATCTTCCAGAGTCGGGGTCGCTGGCGTAGATACCTTCGGTGTTGTCTCCAAAACTGATGGATCCAGTTGCCATGGACGTCAGGTTCCAGGTATCAGTGGACGTGTTGTACGCCCAGAGGGAGTTGTCAACCCCATCCGCATCTTCTTCGATAAGACCACCATAAGCATACATGGTGGTATGATCATAGAAGAAGACACCGGAGGCACCTCCAGCAGTCAAGCGTTGACTACTCGCTAGCTCACCTGACGGCAATGCCGACTGGTTGAGTGCGGTCGAATCGAGCATGCCATCGACATCAAAACTCTTGGTCAGGTCGAGCCAGTACAGGTCCGACGTGTTGTGCCATATCTGGTTGTCAGCAAACGTGTAGTTGCCGCTGGTGAAGAACAGGCGATTGTCGACAATGGCCGCTGTTAAGATGTTAGCCCCTTACTTTGCTCCGCTCCCATCCATATAATGGTTGGTGGTGTCCACGTACTCCGGTGATCCACGATTCCACACAAGCTTCCTTCTACGACGGGTACGAGTAGTAGAGCGGCGTAGGCGAGCGCCGAGAGCAGGGCAGTGCGTCTCGAGTCTGACATCTCGAATGAACGGATGGATTCGAGGAGGGCGCAGCGGCGTTCAAGGGCAGAAACCTTAAACCTCTCCTTGGGGGCAGAAGAGACGCCGTCATCAGACGACACGCGGTGGCGAGCGATAGAGTGCTTCAAATAACTCTATTTCGCGCAAGGCCGCGGGCGCTTGCCGCTCCACGGGGAGGCCTTTCAGGAACATGTCCGGCCGGTGGTCGGACCAATGGGCAGATCAGCGGGGCGCGTAACTTGGGGGCCACTTTCTAACGGCTCGGGTACGAGTCACGGTTCGAGTGAGGCCAAGCGAAGGTCCAGGCCTGGCACATCCCAGAATCGGCCTCCTCTCCGGCCTCATGAATCGAGCCTTGATTCTATTGAAAGAGGGTCCAATTTCGCCGAGGGGTGGCCGTCAGGAGTGATGCCAATTTTCTATACATATCCTGCGCCTTGGTGTTTTGTCTTCTGCTGACGGGCGCCGTTCCTGCGCTCCGGTCCGTTCGGCACGGATGTGGCCCTCGATGTGGCCCCATCGGTCACTAGGCTTGACGCCACCAACGCGGGGCTTGTAAACGCCTCCGCCATCGCAATCCGCATCGTCGCATGGCGCGCCGCCATACGAAGAACCGGCGTTTCGCGTAGGCTGGCCTGAATCCTTCGAGGCGACCATGTCGATATAAAGCTGCTGTTGCGATGCCCAAGGGAGGTTCTGTAGTTCGCCATTGACTCTTTCTTCTCCGAATATGCGTTTGTCTCTCTCCCTTTTTTGCGCGTCGCTGTGCGCCGTCCAGCAGGCGCAGGCTGAGCTCAGGAATGTTTTTGCCCACTACATGGTACATCGACAATAGCGTCCTCAGATCCTCCGTAAGCAGTAACTGATGCAGGTGATCACAGGTTGGCGGCATGAGTGGCATCGACCAGGCTGTCACCGATGTGACCGGCGCCAAAACCCTCGGCATCGACGCTTTTGCGCTGAATGTGCAGAATGTTGCAGACTCATGGTCCACCAACGCCATCGGCTGGCTTTTCAAGGCTGCTGAGGAAAAGGGATTCCACCTTTTTTTCTCATTCGATGTGGCCGTCCTCTCCGACGTGTCCGAGTTCTTGCCACTCTTCAAGAAATATCAGTCGAGCTCCGCCTATTACCACCACGACAGCAAGCCTTTCGTCAGCACCTTTGACGGTGGCAAGCTCACCTTCGGGCAAGCCTCGCCCAACGCTGGCTGGCAGTCCAAGTTCAAGGACGTGCTAAAGTCCGACGGTATCACGCCATTTTTCGTTCCCGACTTTGACGACTATGGCGGCTCCTACGATGCCTCTTTCTTCAACACGTACAGCGTCGTCGATGGTGTCATGAACTGGGAGTCGGCCTGGCCAACCGAGGGCGATGGAAAGGTCGCCGCGAACTCTGCCATTGACAAGTCGAGCATGAGCGCTGCGCACGCTGCCGGCAAGGTGTACATGATGCCTCTGTCTTCTTTCCAGTCCAAGCACCTCAAGGCCGGCCAGAACTGGTACCGTCGCGGCGAGCTCACTCTCACGCAACGCATGACGCAAGCTCTCGAGCTGGGACCGGACTTCATCGAGCTGCTGACTTGGAACGACGCCGGCGAAGGCCACTACTTTGGCAACGTCTGGAACGACTCCATCTCCAGCAACCAGCCAATCGTGGATGTCACCGAAGGCTTCGACCACACCGCCTGGCAGTCTATCATCGCGCCTTTCATCACTGCGTATAAGGCCAAGGCGACCACAGCCTCTGCCATCACGCCGTTTGGTGATTTTGCCGGTTCTATTTGGTATCGCACGCTGCTGACGACCGCGAGCTGCTCGGGTGATTCCCTGGGCAAGCCTAGCGGCGCACAGAATGCCGAGGACGTTGTCAACGTTGCGGTTCTGCTGCCAAAGGGTACTACCGGTACGCAGGTCAAGGTCTACAGCGGTGGCTCTCTTCTTAAGACGCTGGATGGTGTGGCTGGTCTGAATGCGTGGAGCGTGACCGGTCTGAAGACGGGTGCCGTGCGTGTCGAGTTGATCAAGGGTGGAAAGGTCATTGGCGCGGCGAGCGGCGGCAAGGAGGTCAAGGCCGATGCCAGTCTGTGCAACTACAATTACGAGGTTGTCAAGATTGCTTAGAGTGGGACGAAGGATGAAGGATGAAGGATGAGCGGATCAGGGGACGCATGTACGAGATCAGCGCAAGGGGTGTAATCTGTAATCACAGATGTAGACATAACCGTAGACAGACATAATACAGACGTAGACATAATTCAGCGACAGAATTGACATGAATGCAATGCTGGTAGATGCACTCACATTTAGACTTGAGATCCATAAATAGAGAAGCGGACAGGGTACCCTGGTCATATCCATGTCGATCGTTGCTTCGTCTGGGACACCAACAATGCAGTCCCTTGTCGTAACTAGTGGTCGTAGTGACAGGCCTGGTATTGTAATCGAAGTCATTTGTCGCGTCGTGTCGTGTCGTAGGACGTTGTTTCCCGACTCGCCGGTTGCTATTTCCTTGGAGCAGCTATGTCAGTCTTCCGACTCTTGCACTCCTCACCAAATACAATTCACCACTAACAATCCATCAAACAGCCATTAAGCAATCATTGACTTCCCAAATTCACATCATCACTCACCGACCACATCTCATCAGGAATCATGCAAGCCAACCAAAACAACGACTATGAAGTCATCACTTTGACCGCATTCGATCAAATCAATCCACGAGGATGGCATCAATTCTGTCTCTGTTATCCTTTTCCAGACAAGTCAGAAATGAACGGGGCTATCTTCCTTTTGAACCACTATCTTCAAAACATTGCCAACCGGTTTCCCTATCTTTGCGGTATGATTGCATTTACCGATACTTCCAAGCTAAAGATCGAACTTCGCTATCCCAAACCACCTCTTGATGCGCTCAGGCTCCAGCAGTTCTTTACAGTAAATGATCTCACCGCAGAGTTATCATACGAAGAACTCACCAAAGACATGATGCCTCGAGATCGTCTAGAGGATAGATTTTGGTTAAACTGGACATCGCCTAACCCGGAAGAGTATGACGCCTACGTTATGAATATTCAAGCCAACTTGCTGCAAGGAGGTCTTGTCCTCTCATTCAGCTTCTATCGCGGCGCTATGGACATAGATGGTATCAATGCGGTCATGCATCAGCTTTTTAGGGAAATTAGGATGGGAGTTGACATTGATCAGCCTTGTAAGTTATCTACAAGCACCCTCAATCAAGAAAAGCTTAACGTTTAGGCTCAACAGGTTCCGCGAGGCAGCAGCAATTTCGCAATAGAATGGATATAGGTAAGCCAGTGATGTGAGCTTTGCCACGAACACGTTAATGCTAAAATAGAATTTGGAACAGAACAGCAGCAAGAATATGCACAAAAAGTATTGGCAATGGGTGAGCGTCCAATACCATCTCCAAATCAAGTGGCATCATCGCCTTACCCGGAAATCAATCTGCAACCCCCATTGCCATTTTTCGAGCTAGGCATGCACGCCATCTTCACGTTTAGCTCCGGCTTTGTCCATAGGCTGTATGATGCAGTCGGCAATTGTCTCCGAAAGCAAGGCAAAACTATTACGATTGATCGTAAAACTTGTTTGGCCGCCTTCATCTGGTCCGACATTATGCGTGTGCGTGCCGCTTGCAGAGGATCATCGTTCACCTCAACAGCTAAAATTGGCTTTGGTACAAATGCACGAAAGGTTTCTGGTGTTCACGATCTTTATATTGGAAATATGATGGTACCGGTGCTGGCGACCTCGAGTTTGTCTCACCTCATAGACAACCGAGAGTAAATAGATCCACCGCTCATTTGGCTGAAGCTAATACTCGACTTACAGATCAAGAAACGGAGAAGATGATTGTCCCCATTACAAGATTATCACACGCGCTTCTTTAAAGATTCGTGAAGCTGAGACTGCAGTCAACGCCGATTATGTCAAAGAACGCTACAGACAATATGCTACCCTTCCAGATCCCACCATTGCAATAAACGCATTAAGCAAGGCTATAGACTTGTCTGGCGCTGGTGTCTTTTTCAACTCATTGCTGCCGCTCAATAATATTAGCATGTTCCCTCTCCCTAGCTACGGGAAGAACGCAGAGTTCGTACGCACGGTTGTTGAAAACCATGCATTTGCAGGAATGTGCACGTTTCTGCCTCGGAGTGCGCAATTCGGTAATTCCGACTTTAACGAGCATTGGGAGGTTTCTGTGGGGTTGGCCCCGGCAGAGATGCAAAGGATCATGTCTGACGAAAAAAGGGGTTTAAAACGCTGGGCGAAGAAAGTTGATGTAGTGGTAGAAGGGTTCTAGGCTGTCGGGAAGCCTTGGGTTTGCTCTTGTTACGTATATCTTTGAGACCATGAATGGTATGCGCTGCCTCATAAAAAATTTACCCTGAAATAAAGAGTACAAGCAATCTCTTGAGGATACTCATGGTAAAATATACTGGCATTGCGCATGGCATCCGAAAGCGTTCAACAAGGACAAAGAGTTGGGTCCAGTGTCCGACCACTTCAGTTCTTTGTATTTTTACCATTATTGTTGTCTATTATGTCTTTGCATTATCGTCGTTACTATTGTCTTTTCTGTTTGCGGCATTTTGACGACTTATAACCTGACGCAGTAACCGCCCTTCTTCACCGCACAACACTGTCTTTCCAATGGAGCGACACCACCGAGCGGTCCTCGAAATCTCCACCAAAGTCAAGTCTTTCTACGCACGAAATATACCTTTTCGCGTCTACCATGGCTCAACCAATAGTACGCGGCAACTTGACCATGACGCGGACAAAATTGTCGACACCAACCCACTGACCAACATCCTCGCCATCGATACCGAAAAACGCACCGCTCTCGTCGAAGCCAACGTGCCTATGGACAAGCTCGCCGCTAAAACCCTCAAACACAACCTCATTCCTCTCGTCGTCCCAGAGTTTCCGGGCATCACGGCTGGCGGAAGTTACGCGGGCACAGCGGCCGAGAGTTCGTCATTCCGGTATGGCTTCTTTGACCGCGCCGCGACGTTTATCGAGATCGTGCTTACCAATGGAGACATCGTTCGCGCGGATCCAGATGCAAATACCGATCTCTTCTACGGTGCTGTCGGCGCGTGTGGCACCCTAGGAGTGATCACGCTGCTGGAGCTGCGACTGATTCCTGCGGTACGATATGTTGCACTCACGTATGTGCCAGTATACTCAGCAGAAGAGGCACTGAAGACAATAAACTTTGCATTGACGGAAGAGCAATGGGACTTCATCGACGCGATCCTCTTCTCTCAGAACTCAGGCATGGTACTCCTAGGACGACTCACAGACAAAGCGGACGACCCCACCACCAAAGTTGTACGCTTTTCCCGGCGTCAAGATCCATGGTACTTCATCCACGTGCACTCCAAGCTCGCCCACCTCTGGGACACGTTCTGTCAGACCTGTCATCTAGGCCCGGCGGCGCAAACCCTCTTCACCACGGACAACACGGACGCCAACATCGACGTGCCGGCTTCTCCACCCGTCACCGAGCTCGTCCCCACACTGGACTACCTCTTCCGCTACGATCGCGGCTCCTTCTGGATGGGCGCGGGAGGCTGGCCCGCCTGGCTCTGGAACCGTGCTGGTCGCTACGTCCTCGACGCTGTGTACCGCACGCGCGTTGCATACCGCGTGCTCCATCACAGTGGACGGGCTGCGACAAACTGCATCCAGGACGTCGTCGTGCCCGTCGAACACACGGAAACATTCCTAGACTTCGTGCATGGCCAGCTGCAGGTCTATCCGCTGTGGCTGTGCCTTGTACGCAGCGGTTCCAAGGCCCCACTGCATCGTGCTAGTGGGCTGGCTGGCGGGAAAGGAGGGGTTGTGGGAGAGGGAGCAGAGGAGCCTGCCTGGCTGCTCAATGTTGGCATTTGGGGCGCTTCGAAACGCTCACTTGCTCGGTACAATAGAGAAGGGTTAGAGAGCTTGAGGTCCACGGATGGGTTCGCGGCGTTTGTGGCAGATAATCGCGCATTGGAGGCGAAGGTCGCGGAGTTGGGCGGCATCAAGTGGTTGTATGCGCAGAACTGGTACACGGAAGAGGAATTTTGGAGCATTTATGATAAGAGTGCGTATAACAGGCTGAGAGAACGGTGGGATGCGCGCGGCTTGCCGAGTTTGTGGGACAAAGTTAAAAGGAGGACGGGCAAAGAGTTCGAGGGTAGTTTTGACGTCGGTATGTTGAGGGGGATGGTGTTGAGTCTTTTGGGGAAGGATCATATTTTAAGAAAGGGGAGTGGGAATGGGAAGAAGACGTAGGTTTGTGGTGAGTTGTAACGGCTAGTGGTGGTGCACAGGCTTTGAGAAGAGATTAATTTTTATACTACAATGGCCTCGTTAAAAACCCTGTGGGAAAAGAGCGCCAGACTGGGTATCTAAAATATACAAAACCAAAATTCGGTATACCGTAACCTCATTGTGGGTCCGGATTTCAAAACTTTGCCGTTAATCAAAGCAGGCTGATGGTTAATTACCCAGACTTCGTTGGTCCGGACATTGAAAGCAGTGCAAAACAAAAGAAAGTGAAGGACTAATTACCCACAAAGATGATGGGTTCAGTTAGAAGATTGCAAGTCAACCATTTGAGGAAGGAGGTTGCTGGACCTCTACGGCGGGTGATTCCGCGTTGATGTGTGCCTGGAGATTGCTCTGGGCAGGTGGGGTGACCGCAGGAGGGTTTAATGAGCCGATGGGTTGGCCCTGCGCAGTCTGGACTTCCGCGGCCGGCTTGATGCCTGTCTGGATAGTGTTCTGGGCAGGTGGGGTGACCGCATGAGGGTTGAATAGATTGATCAATTGGCCCTGCGCAGGTTGAATGGGGCCCGTCTGGACATTGCGCTGTGCCGGCTGGGTGACCGTGGTAGGTATTCCGAAGAGCTCGTTGTACAAGTCTTGCGGATTTTTAGCGGCAGGTTGAGCGACCGTACGAGGGGGGGCGAACATCCAAGGTGGAGGAGGGCCAATCTGAACATTAGGCTGCGCAGGTTGAGCGGGTGCCGTCTGTGGTCTTCCGGCGTGCTGCATATCGCGTTGATCAAGTTCGGCTTGGTAAGCAGTTTTGCCAAATATACTGGCAGGTGGGTCTTGCACAGGTCGAGCAGAGGGCGTTTGTAAGGTCCCAGAGGATTGGGTATAGCCCTGGGTGGGGAGGTTGGGCGTGGGCGGCGCCGTCAGGTAGGGTTGCAGTAGTTGCTGTAGTTGTTGAAACTGTTGCGCGCGTGGCGCGAGGGCAAGAGGCAGAGGTGTACCTCTTTGCACGTGCCATGCTATCTCTAAGTCAGTTGACAGTACATGATCCGTTTGCTAGTATATGGTAGACATGCCAATGCGTCTGTCTTGAGCCTCTTGTTCAGTCGCAAGGATTCCTATGGAAGATTTAGTATGGCCGTTGTCGCAAACTTTTGGTTGTTTACTTACGTTGATATTCAGGGTCGTGCCCAGGGTCGTTGTCCGGTGATGACATCTAGGTCCATCAGACTTTGCACCTTTGAGAGCAGTGCACTGAGAGTTGACTTACGGTGTGCGAATGATTGCAGGTAGATGTCGTGGAGATGGAGAGGTAGGAAAAGGAAGAATCTTTTTCTAAGTGTGCGCGCAACTTAACCACGCTAACCCGATTGGGCAAGCAAAGTGAAAGTTGGGCGCATGTCGCTAGCCTTCGACCATCTGGTGAGCTCTAGCATGTTCCAGGAGGTTCCATAGTGGACATCAGGTACAGACAGCTCTCCGTCCGGCTCTGGACACTACAACATCACCGGAGTGCGGTGCATTGCGACATCACCGGCGCGCAACAGCAGTCGTTTTACTCCCTGTCGTCAGCGTACTGTCTTCTTGTGGCTGGACTTCTTTCTCTGTATGGCATCTTTCATTGCGGTCTGTGACCACGTAGACGCTTATGTCGGCTTCACTTGGCTACCTTCGTGAGCAATGTCCAGTCAATGGGCGAGTGCCCTTCAGAAGCCTGCCAAGGCCATGTTTCTAACGACGAAAGTGTGAAGAGGACGAGACTTGGTAAAAATGCTAGCCAGATTCCTTATTCCTAATTGGTACACTGGTCAATATCAGCAATGGGCGACATGGTCACCAGTCTAGAGAGATTCCTACAAGACAATTCCAAACACTGCGCCTTTATTTACTCCGATACCTCGATTGTGCTCACGACAGGCTCCAAGTCATCTGCTACCACTAGTATCATCAACAGGTCGAGTAACGCTCACCTGCATTTTTCTATGTTTTTTCTTGCTTCAGTAAACAAACACTTACATTCAAACCAGTGCAAGCGGCAGAATCACCACAAAGCCATCTACCAGCCCATCAGCGCAGTCGGTCTTTCTTTCTTCGCAAGTACCAACCACCAACCAAACCTCCTACCGGCAAAGATCAGCAACAAACGATAGAACCAGGAATCAACGCACATACCAGCGCCAATCGCCTTGCTTTCTTTCCCAAAACAGCATATGCGGACCCAGCACCTCGTACCCGATCTGCGGAAGGCACATCAAGCAGACGCACGCGCGGGAGCCTGACTGACATGATGGCAACTCTTTGTCCGCAGCCGAAAACTCGCCTTTGTAGCCACGCGACCGACGCGTGCTTCTTCTTTCGTGGAGAATGCAGCCCACTCGCACCCCCTGCAGCACGCAGCATCTCCCCTGCTCTTCCGCAAGCAACACCCACACTCTCACTAGAGCCACACACCCAAACCACCGTTATCGCTATCCGCTCAGCTTACCACACCGTCATCCGACACCGCTGCGTCGTCGCCGTCCGTGAACCAGGACAGTCCCACACGCACGTGGCCCATCGAACGGAACAGGACAGGCCCACCTACACCAAGTGGGGCAAGGCCCGACCGTTAGGAAAACGACCCGCCAGCCGCTCCGAGCCCCTGATCGACCCCGCGTCCCAATAATCCCAACCGCCAGCACCGAATCCGCTGCGAGCTGACTGCAGACTGAAGCAGCCGGACCTTTACAGGGCGAAACCTCCGTAATTACGCGGTCGCAATGGGTAAGGCGTCCCTTGGCGGCTCGGAGGTGTTGCTGCTCTTGCTCCAACCTTGTAGGTGGATATTTTTTGTCTGCGCGTGATTGCTACTGCGTTTGCTTCCGCGGAGCGGCTTGGTGGGTCTGCTGCTGGTTCCTGTCGGTGGTTGCTGGCTGCTGCTGCGTGGCGTGGCGATCTTAATGATGGGCTGCAGGGCTGTAAGGTTCGGGCGAGTCAGAGTCGCGCGATGCGTGGGACTGAGGGTCTGCGTGCTTGGTGCCTGGTAGGGCGGTAAACTCCTTTGCTGTGGGGAGACGGGCTGTAAAATATAAAGCTGGCAAGGGAGCGTGGGCTCTCTAGCGCTGGCGTCCAGTCTGTCTGTCCCTTCAGTGGTGACGCTTGTGTCTGTCTGTATTCAAGGTTTACATTGGATAAGAGTCGCCAATATGATCGTCCTGAAGGCTCTTAGCGTTTTCTCGATTCTTTCCTCTATCGCTTCGGCAGGGATCATGTATGACTCTCGCGTCTATATGCTCTTATCTTATTAGCTGACCTTTCCATAGAGATGGCACTCAACATGCCAAGCGTGCCAGCAACAGCACCACGCCCCCCTCCTACGAATATGTAATTGTCGGCTCCGGAGCTGGTGGCGCACCTTTGGCAGCACGACTCGCGCTCGCCGGACACAGTGTGCTGCTGCTCGAAGCGGGCGACGATCAAGGAAACGCGACGCAAGTGGTAGTGCCGGCGTTGCACTCGGTAGCGGCTGAATACGAGCCGTTGCGCTGGGACTACTTCGTGCAGCACTACGAAGACGAGGAGCAGCAGCGTCGCGACACCAAGCTGACTTACACTACTCCCGATGGCCAGCAGTACACTGGTGCGAATCCGCCGGAAGGTTCCACGCCGCTGGGAGTCTTGTACCCACGCGTCGGGTCGCTGGGCGGTTGCTCAGTACACAATGCTCTCATCACCGTGTATCCGCATGAAAGCGACTGGAGCACCATCCAGAGCATCACGGGAGATGACTCGTGGGCGCCGGACAACATGCGCAAGTATTATGAGCGGCTGGAGAGGTCGCGGTACTT